AAAATTTCTGCTGTGAAAACATGTCATCGAAAAAGATATTTGATTGATTAATAGAACTTATTTATTTAATAAATAATTTAAATAATAAAAAGCAAATTATTTCTAATTTGCTACAAATATCATTTTATTGTTATTTTTCATTCTGTTTGAATTACCCCTTTTGTTTTTACAAACTAAACAAATATTATTCTTTATGATAAATTATACTATGAAATAAATTTATCAATTATTAAAAAGTTACAAAACCTGTTTTTTAATTTGAATTCAAAAACTTCAAAAACTTCAAAAACACAGGCAAATTAAGTAGAATGGTCAATTTAATAATTACACTGTTTTTTTATAAAAGTTATAATAATATATTATAACAAAACTAGTTTTTGTTTTATAGTAGTAATCTTAACTAGTTTTAATAAGTAAAAAATAATTAATTTTAATAATTAAAAAACAGCAAAACAAAAATAAAAATAGAAATGGGTTCTGCTCTCTGAATGCCGATAAAAAAGAAACGAAAGAATTGTTAAAAGAAAGAGAAACAAATGAATACAGTCAGAATTGCAGAAAAAAAGGCGATTATTCGGGACAAAACACAAAAGAGAAATTTCTAATGGTTTTTTTCGTCGGACAAAAAAAGAGAAAAATAGACGAGAGACAATAAGAAAAATACGAGTGAGAAAGATGGCAAAAGACGGGAAATTACACACCAAAAATGAAGTAAAAATGTGAGAAAATTTGTACTAAACTTTAGTGCTAAGAAGTTTCTTCGAACTTTTCCTTCAGAAAAATCGACAAATGAAAAATAGAATTTTTCAGTTGTTGAAAATGAGTGGCGCTTTGTTCATAGAAAAACAGACGAGCGTGATGACGGAGATGGTTAAAGGGGAGGAGATTCTTGTTGTGGTCAAACAGTGCAACTTTGTCTTAACGATCAGCTCGACGACGTTAGTTCTCGAAGGTGCGGAGATCTGTTGTGAGCTTTTATATGACTCACCCGAACTGAAACCAGTATCTTTTATTAATCAACCACCTATTAAATATAAAGCACTTCAAGCAAATGAACACTCCTTGAATGTTGAGTGTAAACTTAACGTCTTATCGTCGCAACATGAAGACCACTTTTTTAGAGTTAAAGTAACTGTTCTTATTGCGGACAAACCAATCGGAGAAGTACTGTCTTCCCCAATCAGGTCAATTTCAAAATTAGACCCACACAAAAAGGAGATGTTAAAGAAAAAGAAAGAAAGAGTCGGAACACCGTCCACTGAAAAGAAGCCCCGCGGCTCTTCTCTCTCTGAAGAAGTCAAACTTGAGAAGGGAAACACGTTAGTCAATCTTTTGGCCCTCTTGTCTCAAAACACCGTCCTCCTCGAGAAAATGCGACAAAAACAGTGCTGCGACGAAATCTCTTCCTTAGAAAGTGGGTTCCAAAATTTCATCGAAAAGTACACTCAGACGGCTGGGAGGCGTCGTGGCCTTTTAATGGAAGTAGTAGCTGGTTTAAATGATCAAGAAACACAAGGTCTTGATGAAATCGCTAGTGTCGTTGGTTTGTTCTACTTATTTATCTCTTCTTGACTACTAATAATTAATAACTAATAACTATTAATTATTAATTAATAACTAATAACTATTAATTATTAATTAATAACTAATAACTAATAACTAGATGTTACTATAACAGACGACAGAAGACGTCCAGACTATAATGATTACTTGCAACAGAATTTCCGTCGCGAAGAACAACGCGATGGCTTAGTCCCCCCATTCCAAGGCCATAAACCTTTCATTAACTATACCAATCCATTCCTTAGATAGTTCACTTCACTTGTTTACTTCACACACCACCTATATACTATTACTGATTCTTTAATTCATGTCTAGTTGTTCTTTCTATTCAACTAATTAAAGAAGAAACAATGCTGAAAATGCAACACAAATTACTTATCAGCTAAGTCTGAGCGAGCCTTTTGTATGATCGGACTTGGATTCGCCTGTTGCGCTATTCGCGAGACAACAGCGGTCGCACACCCCTTTTGCTTCACACCAGACATCGTCAAAGACTCTTTAATGATATCTTTGGCTATCTTTCTTGGAAGAACTCCTCCTATCGAAGTGTCGGTCTTGCCTTTGACTAAGGTCTTCACTAATTTCTTGTCAGCCTTCTTCATTGGGGTCTCCGTCTTCTTCTCAGCCGGTTTAATAGCTTTTTTTACTTCCTTTTTAGTTTTTGTCTTCTGTGCTTTGGCGATCTTCTTCTCCGCTTTCTTCTGGACTTTTGCTAACTTCTTAGCATCTTTTTTGGCCTTGGCTTTCATCGTCTTGAGAACCTTCTTAATTTGCTTTTTGTCTTGTCCCGCCTTCTTCATCTTCTTCTCAACTTTCTTCTCCGCCTTCTTTTCTTGCTTTTTAATGTTCTTTGTTTGCGCTTTCACTTTGGCAAGTTTCTTCTCCGCCTTTTTCACCGTCTTCTTTGTCGCGGCTGGAGTGGATTTCTTCTCTTCAACCTTCTTACCAGTCAAAGCTTCTACAGCAGTGTTGTACGCCTTCTTCTCAGTTTCAACAGCTTTCTTTTTGTTTCCAGCATCCAAATTGCCTAAAGCCTTTTCATGAAGTTCTACAGCTTTTTGTGTCTTCGTGTCGAGGAATTTTGCGAGTTTTTTGAAAGTGAGTTTCTTTGAGATCTTCTTGTTGTCGACCTTTTGAAGAGTCTTTTTTGCCTCTTTTTTCGCTTCTTTCTTTGTCACTTTCTTTGCCTTTTCAATTTTCTTCTGTGACTTCTTGGCAGCTTTCTCAGCCTTTTTGGCTTGCTTCTTTGCTTGCTTCACCACTTTCTTTTGTTCCTTTTGCGCTTGTTTTTTGGCGGCTTTGGCTTTCTTCTCGACTTTCTTTTGTTGTTTCTTCTCAACCTTTTTCTGCTCTTTCTTTGTGGCTTTCTTTGCTTTCTTCTCTTCTTTCATTTTCTTTTCTGCTTTTTTTGCCTTCTTTTCAATCTTCTTTTGCTCTTTTTTAGCGGCTTTCAATTTCTTCTCAACCTTTTTGGCCTTCTTTTGCTCCTTCTTCTCTGCCTTTTTCACTTCCGCTTTCTTTTTCTCGTCTTTTTTGGCTTTTGTTTTCTCTAATTTCTTGGCTTCTGTTTTGGCGTCTTTTTTGGCTTCAGCTTTTTTCAATTTGGTTTGCTCTTTCTTGATAGCTTTTTGGGCGGCTTTTTTTGCAAGTTTTTCTTCCGACTTTTTGGATGTACTCTTTTGAACAGTTTTCAGTGCTTTCAACTTTTTCTTGTCTTTTTGGGCTTTGGCTTTTTGAGTCTTCACTTTTTTCTCAATTTTTGCTAATTTGGCTTTGTATTCCGTCTGCTTGTCTTTGTCCCCTTTCTTCACAGCCTTGTTCAAGTCTTTCAAAACTTTCTTCTCCTTTGCAAGTAACTTCTTTTCTTTCTTCATGTCCTTCTTGACTTGTTTCTTCAGCTGTTTCTTCTTCTCGGCAGTCTTCTTGATGGTTTTGTCTGCAGTCTTCTTTGCGTTGGCAACCTTCTTGTCGATTTTCTGAAGCTTTTTAGTTTGCTGTTTTGCAGTCTTTTTAGTGTCGAGGGCCTTTAAAGCAGCCTCCTGAGACTTCACAAGGTCAAGTGCTTCTTTTTGTGTTTGTTCCAAATTTTTGTGAGCAATGGAGTTCTCCTCATCATTTTTTGTGACCTTTTTGTTGAGGTTATCTATGTTAGAATTCTTTGTTTGTACCTCTTGAACAGTGTCCTTCAACTTTTGTCCGACCTGTGCAGTCTTCACTTTAAGGACTTTGTTTTGCTCTGCAGTAAAAGGGAGAGCGACAGCAATTGCGAGTAAGATACACAACCTTAACATAATGCTTTCGAGTTCTCACAGTTCATTGTTATCATCTAAGAACAACATGTTGATGGACTTCTAAAAATCATGAATACAATAGTTTCCCTATTCTATAGCTTCTAATAACAGTCACTTTTTTTTTGCCATTATTCAACACACAAAAAAAATTAGTTTATTAATTGTATTATTATAATATAGTTCTATTGTTTTTATTCTTTTCAACTTTTTTCTTTGTTTTTTTTTCTTTTTCAAAGATCATAAAAGACATTTAAATGAGTAAGTTTTTTATTGTAATAAATCGGGATAATTATGTAAACTAATTAAAATGTTTGTAATTTATTTTAGACCAAACTTTAAATAATAAGGTAATCAAATTGTCAATAAAAAGGGGGATTACAATATTTTAAATCTAATTTTTTCTTTTTTTGTGAGGTTGTTAGTTAAATTGTATTTATATTATAATTAAATTATTTATGTACTATTATTCACTAATTTTGTTTTTAACAAACACTACTTAAAGCCGATGTTGATTGATATTTACACAAATAAATTTTGTTTCAAGTTTGTTTTTTTTTTCTAACAAACTGACAATTCTTTTTTAATGGTGTTCTTTTTTAAATAATATATATTAATATGGTAAAAAACGGATTATTTTATCAATCTTGTTAATTCAATTTTGGAAAGCAAAAACTCTAAATTATTAATTATACAAATTTTCCCACATTTTTATTATTTTTTATTCTAATAATTTTTTAATTTTTTATAATAATAATATTGTCCCAAAAATGATATGTAATTTAATAAACAACTATTATGATTAGGTAAATTGAAACTATATTCGTTCTGTATAAGCCCGTTTTTACTCAGAATTGGTGTTGAAAAATCAAGCAACAAAAATTGAATTGTCGTTACTCGTTCTATTTTCGACTTTTAATAATTCATTTTATGTCACAAATAATAGAAAATGCCAAAATCTATTTTCTATCATTGACAATTATAAAATTTGTATCATGTTTATAATAATAATTATTATTATAATATAATACATCAATTAAAAGACGGCAACAGCATTATAAAATCGACCAATCATATTGGAGATTAATTTGTTATTTCAACAACTTTCTAAAACGTTCTGTTTTTTTTAAACTATAATAAAGTTATTATATACTAGACAAAACAACCTATTTTTCTTACCAAAAGTGTAGATAATTCTATAAAAGAAGTCGGCCAGTTCTTTATTGAAATAAAAAAGCCGCCAAAATCATAATGCGTTACATTTCTTTCTAAAATCGGGAATGTTCCCAAATAACACCATCAAGATGGATTGACCTTCCATGTTGTTTTCTCGCCTATTTAAACTCCAAAACTTGTAAAGACAATTCCACTTGTTGTTTCTTGTCTTATTGATTCTTTTCTCTGTTTTAATCACACTGTTTTTGACGTACTCTCTTCTTTTTATCCGTTTGCTCTTTAAGAAAACTACCACTTAACATTTATTACAACGTGATTCCTGAGTATTTATTATACTTATTATAGTAATTATAACTGATAGTATTTGTTGAATAAAAATAACCAACATATAAGCAAACACTGATCATGTTTAGTTGAGTGACCAAGCCTTCATGCAAGTCTTGACCCAGTTGTTGTTCATATAGATTTGAGCTCTTCTAATTTGTGGGATAGTCGAGAATGGGAAGACAAGTTCGACAGGGGTGACTATAACAGTAGTTGGCTTGCATGGGTGTCCCTTTCTCATTCCCTTCAAAGTCTTTCTGAAAGCGTTTCTATATGCTTCCTTGGCTTCTTCCTTAGCCTTCTCCAAGTTCTTTTTCGCTTTCTTTGCAATTTTAATCACAGCAGTTGAATGTTTTGCGTCTTTCCCTTCCTTTGCGGCTTGATGGGCTTCCTTTGAGATCTTTGCCTTATACTTTCTCATCACTTTTCGATACGCTTCGATCCCGGCTTCCTTTGCTTGTGCCTTCTGTGCGGAAGTGATTTTCCCGGTTGGTTGTTTTGGTGAGCTCTTTGCTACTTTGACGACCTTCTTTTCTTTCTTCGTTGAAGTGTTGAGCTTGGCCGGGTTCAATAACTTCTTCTGTGCCTTTTTGGCTTGTTTCTTCATGACTTTCTTTTCAGCCTTTTTCGTCGCCTTCTTATTCTCTTTTTTGGCGATCTTCTTCGCTTGAGCTTTTTGAGCCACTTTCTTTGCTTTCTTCTGTTGTTTCTTTGCAACTTTCTTTGAGACTTTCTTCACTACCTTTGCCTTTTTGCCATCATAAAGTTCATCTAAGTCGACTAAGGAATCACCAACTGGGGCTTTGGTCTCAAGAGCATCAGTGCGGACTAAAGAAAGAATGTTCATGTTCAATTGCGAAAGTTGATCGTTTGCAGCAGCAAAGTCGATCGAGCTCTTACTAATTTTGGTCATCAGAGCATCAATCTCGGCTTTGTGGTTCTTGACCTCCTCATTCGCATTAACAAGGTGCGCACCGATCTCAGTTATTTTCTTCGCTATAATCGCAGTCTGTTCGTTGGTGTATGGGAACGCGCGTACACTCGCACATATTATTAACAAAAACAGCATTATAATATGCCATTTTCAAGTTCCATTCCTTCTTATTACCACAACATTGCAATGATTTGTTACTGCAATAGTATAAATATACTTGATTTTACTATAAATTATAGTTACATTGTCTTTCCATTTTTTAAATTATTTTTATTGGGCATTTTTTAATTAAAAATTGTTGATTTTTACTCTTCACTAAAACAAAATGTGTGTTTTTAAAGTGCTGTTTTATTTATTTATACTTTTGTAAATTAATAAAATATTATTAATTATAGTTTGGTAGTGTTATATTGTATTTTTAATTGCGTTAATTTGTGTATTTATAAACTATAAAAAAAGAAACAATTATTTCTATTGATTTGTCGGGATGCTTTTTTTTTATTAAAATAATTAAAATTTGAGTTTTATAATTTACCAAATTCACATATTTGCTGTTTTTTTATATAATTTCATGGACAACTAGCATTGACTTGAACATATATCTTTGTCTTCCTTTTTAAAAAAAATAATATTTTTTTATTTATTTCATATTTTTAGTTCTCAAACAGAAGATTCGATATTTAATAATACTATACTTAATAATAAAAATAATTATTTTAAATGTAATTTTTTATTATTAATAATATATTATATTTTTATAATATGATACTTAAACTTATTAAAAATAATATTGTAATTAAAATAGTAAAAAAAGTAAATGATTAAAAAATATAATTAAATTACAAAAAAAAAATTTAACAATATCAAATATAATAAATGATTTTATTTATCTTTGTTTTGTACTATATGTGCTTTTCCAGATAAAATAGCATCGATTATAATATCAATAATTCTCATTGTTGTATCTTCAATACATTTTTTAATAGATTGAAAAATCAGAGCAAATAATACGATATTGAAAGTAATAACAATTACTATCACAATTATAATTTGTAAAGTATTGTCATTTTGAATATTAGTATTTTCAGTATTTAGTACTTCAGATAAAGCCGTCGAAAGTAGATATCCTAAGAATAAGAATAATTGCATAGTCCGATTAAATATAAATAACGCATGTTTATTAGATTAAGAAAAAAGTATTACTGTATGCGTGTAATCTATCAAACTACACACTCTGTAAAAGTACCATCTGAATATTTATGGTATTTAATTATAATATTTTATTATTAAAACTAGAAATTATACCATTTAAATTTTTTAATAAATTTTAACTTTATTTATTTAATTAACATCAAAATAGATTACAGATGAAATTATTGGGTGTGGTATTAATAATTAATAAAATTAATTATTTTAAAATAATTCAATACTTTTTATTTTTTTAACTTTATACATTAAAACCTCCCATAGATCAACCAGTTTAATGGAGAAAACACGATTGACCATTTCCCTGTTAGATTTTTGGTTGATTCCCAAAATTATATTCCAAAATTACATTTCAAGCAATTAAAGAATAATTACTTGACAAAAAATAATTTGATTGACAGAAAGATGATTGGCCAAAATGCCCAATTAAAGATTTTTTGTTAGTTGTTTTAGGTTTTTTCCCGTTAATTACACCTCATTTTATTTTTATGATTAGAAATCACTTGACAAAGACTAAAAACAGCGTTTTATTTTTCCAAAAACAAAAATGGAACTGAACTCGATTAAGAAACGTCTTTTAGAACAATTCAGTTCTGGAACTCCTTTAATTCGCCAATCGTGAGTGTGAAAGGCCCGAGACTCTGTTGAAGCGCGTCAATAGGACTGCCTTAGACTTGGTGATCTCCATAGTATAATACATGGAAGTCCTCACAAATTTGAGCAATTTGAGTTTTAAGAATGGAAATTGGTTGTTACAAGTTTCCTGAAAATTCAATTTCTATGCTAAATGGTTAATGTGACTGACCAAAACTGAAGTAAATAATAGGAAAAAGTCAATGGATTGAAGTAAAATAAAAATGTTGTCATTACATTTAGTGTTCGAATTAGATATAAAAATTAACTTGTTCAAACATTAAAGTAATCACTGTTTCATTGTATTCATAAAACATGAATCAGTGTATCAAATAAAAACAAAAAGAGTTTTCATATATTTCTCAATCTAATTATTAGCATTATTATAACCAAAATATAAAATAAAGTTATTTAAAATTTTAACACAAATAAATTTATATGACAGTTTGTTGTTTCATTATATGATAATTAAAAAAAATATAAATTGACATTACAAGGTTGGACGATACCATATAAAAATATTTGTTTTTATGTTCTTTTCGTTGTGTTCTAAACAGCGCATTTGATAATAAAAAACTATAATTGTTGTTTATATTTAAAATTAAATACAACTTGTTAACAACTTTGGATCGACTTGTACACAATTTAACAATTTGTTTTGACTCACAAAAACAATTTATGTTATTTTTAAAAATACATTTTATTTATAATTAGTTATATGTATAATCACCACCCAAACACAGTTAAATAATCATTGAATAGATGTATTAGTTGTTATACTATTATATTATATGGTTATTATTTTAAACAAATTGTTAATATTGAATATTATAAACATTTTTTTATTATTTAAAATTCAAAACGTGTTTTATCCAGGTAAATTATCTAAATATGTATTTTGCACATGTCAAATAACAATCCACTTGCTTTTATCACTAGTACATCATTTTGTAGAATATTTAATTAAAACATTTTAAAATCCTAATTATTATTACATAAAAACAAATAATATCTTATAATAAAAATACATCATATCAAACAATTAAATGTTCATATTTATGTTATATAAATTATTTAAAATAGAGATGGTTGTAATACATTATAATTTTACAGAAATAAACATTATATCAAAAACATAAATATACAATGGTATAACATATTGTTTTTAGTCTTTTTGTTTTCTGTGTTTTTCTTTTCTGAATAAATAATTATTTTTTATCATAATTTACTTATGTATTTTTTGTTTGACACAAACAACAAATTATTACCATTAATTTAATTTACCATGTTTTAAAACATAGACTTAATTATACAATTATAATTACGTCTATTTGTCGTAATTATAATTTTCGAAGTTGCTTAATTGTCGCACAACTGGCCGATCATTTGGGTGTACTACAATTAAATATTTTGTTCTAGAATATGTAACTTTTGTTGAATTAAAAACTAAATTTTTTATAAAAAAAAAATCAATGTTAAAAATAATTTTCTACAAAATTCACTCATTTACGACAAATAGATAATTTTTTCTGCTAGATTTACAACAAATAGACGCATGTGACTGTATTTATTTAATAATTAAAGCACAAACAAATAAACAACATAATCTATCAATAATATCAAGCATTCTTTCTTTCTCCACATTTTTCATTTTCTCCTGTCTTTGATACCCTCTATTTTATTTATAATATATTATTATAAATATACGCGCTCATACCTCTATATTTTGTTGCTAGACTGTTATATATTGTCGTAAAAGCGCTATCAACTTATTTACTTATTTATTAAGTTTATCAGTTATTTCGGCAGTCTATTTTATTCATACAACAAAGAGGAACTCTTTTATTATAATAAAGTCACAATGGCAATACTCGTGTTGGTGGATATTTATTTTTCAATTACATTTTCAGACTCAATTTAAGCCGGCTTCTCGTTTGCTTTTATGCTAAGTGGTCAAGCTGTTTAACGTTTAAAATATATAAAAAAACAATTTGTGTATTGATTATAAGAATGTTTTCTGAACAAACAAGGAAAGGCGCTTCATTTTCTTCTTGATGAGGATCAAGAAAGAAGAGAGTTTCAAAATATTTATGTTTCTTGTATTTATGTACGCCTTTGATGTTTTGATGTTTTGATGTTTTGTAATACTGTTGTCATTTCAATAAAATACAGGAATAATACATCTTTTTTTCAGTATAACCACATGAGCACTTTTATTAAATTAGTTACTAGTATAATAATAACATTGAAGATATTGTTGTATATTGAATTTGTTTAATTTGAATTGTGTGTATCGTTTTTATTAAAGTGTGAATATGTGTATGTATTGACAAGCTTTCAATATTTAAGCTTGATGTTCTCAAATAACCCCATTTTATCAGACACACAATTTGTTTGCAATTAATTACCAAGTGAGTTCGACTTAATGTCGCCATATTTAATTGATGTGTTTGATTGTCGAATTCTTGCTTTATATATTGTTTATTCTTTCTATTTTTTATTTTTCGTGTTTATTTAAAAATGAACAATACGATAAACTATTTATACTCTGTTTAAATTCAAAGACAGGGGATCTTTATTTGTCATTTTATTTTGTTTTTAAGGTATTATAATATATTCAATGCACATTAATTGTTTTATTCTTTATTTTTGAGAAAACAGAACCAAACAACACTTCTTAGAATTGTGTCGTCTATGTTTCCATATCAAAAAAATATAATACCCCAATGTCTCTCTTCTCTACTTAGTCATTTCCATTGTTTTAATTTGAATAATAATGCACAATTTACTTTTAAAATAAATATTTATGAAACAAAAATTCACCTCTCTTGTATTAATAAGTATTTATATGGTTAATATTGTTGTTGTATATGGTAATGTTTTAATGATTGATAATTTGTCCAAAAATAAATTATTTGTACTTTTAAAAGTATTTGCTTGTTCTTTTTTATTAAAAATTAATAATCATTTGTTGTGTTTGTGTTTAAAGGATAAAATAACTGTTATTGGAAAAATCAAAATAAATAATAAAAAATCTCTGTCAAAAAAACGCCCAAACAATTCTAATATATTCAAACACTCAAAAATTTTATTTTCAAATCCAACCCAATCATTAAAATCATAAAAAGTAAAAACTTTGTTGTATATAAATGTTAAATCAAACTGATAATAACTTTTCATAGTTGGATTATTATTATATTATTATTATTTAAAACAATTAATAAAATAAAACAAGTTTAAAATAATAATTATATTTTTAGATTTGGCAATCCGAGATATTTATACACACAATTTATTTTGATTGAGAAGTAAAGTGACAAACAAATAACATTATGATGTTTAAAATTTATTTTTGAATAAATTGGTTGCAATTTGTTTGTTGTTTGATTTTTAATAATATATAATAAAATAATATACACTTTTAATTTATTATCATTTTAGTTAACTATTTAAACTCTTTGGGTGTGTTCTTTGCTTGTCATATATCCTTTGTATTACAAATTTATCCAACTTCTTTGGTATTATTATATTTTCTCGAAAATAATATATTATCATGATAAACAAATATATTTACAATTAATATTTGTTATTTCCTTCATAGATAAGTACCAAGTTTATGAACTACAATATTTTTGCAGACATAATAAAAAACAATTTAAATAATAATAAAATTGATATTGGTGTTATAACTCATTTGAACCAATACTATGTTGGTGTTTATAATAATTTCTTAAATATATTCCAACCACACTGCATATTTTTTTAGGTAAAATAGTTTGTAAAGAGTTTGAAATTAATAAAATTAATATTAACTTGTATTAATTGTCTATAAAGGACAATTTTAAGTGTCACAATATATGTTGGAAATTTTTTTCAACTGCCTTCACCCAGATTTACCATACAACACAACAAATGTTTCTTATTACAATACAAACTTAGAAACATTAAACAATTTCATGCTTATGTGAATAAATCAGCCATACAAAAACATTACAATGAAAAGTTGATGTATTATAAACTCAAAATTAAATATTTACACGTTCAATTGTGATTATTCAACTTAATATGGGTATGTTTATAATAATATTGAAACACTATTTGATGACAAAGTCGGACAAGTAATTGTGTACCATTCTTATTACCACGATTCAGTATACCAAACAAAGAAAAGTTTGTATATATACTAAATAAACTTAAGTCATATACTTACTAAATTACAAACTTCTTTAAAATCTTGAAAAACAAACAATCAACTGTTTTCATGCTTCATTAAATATAATGAGTAATGTTAACAATATATCATAAAATATATTATTGACATGAAACTACAAGACAACAGTGACACACTATTTGTTGCTAAGACAGGATTGTGATGTAAAAATATTAAAATAAATTATTTTAGTTTATAATTTGAAAGAATCGTTTGAGTGTCAAGTAATTTAAAATAAAATAAAAAAACAAAACAGATGTTGAAACGTTTTTATATTGAATATTTGTGATGTTTTTTGTTTTGCTCAGTCTTTTAAATAACACTTATGTTATATTTTAAAATGTGTAAATGTATTTTTTGTTGAAACAAACAGTTTTTACTTTGGTGATGCAAATCAATTTATTTTTAAGTAATTATGATTGATAATTTGAATCTCAATAAAGTCGATATATCAATAATAAATATGTATATTTTCATAGAAACTCATTTTTAGATTTGTACCAGTGCCACCAAAAGGTATGTTTTTATTGGAAGTGAATTTCATTTAAACAATGGGAAGATTTTGTAGCCCCCAAAAATCAAAATTATTTTGATAATTACCATTTGTAATATAAGTGCCGTAATAATTTATTAATTAAATACGATCACTAGTAAAATATTATAAATCATAAACCTGCGAGTAGTAAATATATTATTTAAAAAAATATAATTAGTAGTAATTATAGTCACCCGCTAAAAGGTGTAAATTTACGACAAATGGTCTAAAGAAACCATTTTATAGTTTTTAGAAATTATGATTTTAGATTATGTTTCAATTTGTCATTTATTTCTTTATATCACAAGTATTTCAAAATTAACTATGAATTTACTTAATTTTAAAACATTGTCAAAAATAAATTAAAGGTGAACTGAAAATCAATTATTAATGGAAAAATGTAGTACAAATACACTTACCTGGACAATACCAGAAAACAAAAAGACCAAACCTGTACCTGCGATGGCTTTCGACGATTCGGCAAATTCTTTGGATGTATCAGATTCATTGTGTTATTTGTTTGTGCTGTTTCTGTTAAAACAAAAAGAATTTTGCTATAGTCAATATAAATGGTTACAAACTTATATTGCTTTTAAAAATATTAAGGTGTTCAATAAAAATATGGAAAGTTTGTTATCCGCAGAAGTGTTTATAAGTGTTATCAACCCATACTACAATATCAATGTTTTAGATGGTTTTCTGAGACTGAAAATAATTCAAAAGGATCTGGCAAAAATTTTCAAAGTGAATAAGCCAAGAATTTCCGCTGTTATTAAACAAGAAGAAGAAGCGTGTTATACATGTAATGAATCTAAAAGTAAATATAACATTTCTTTTAAACAATCTGATATACTTTGTTCTAAAACACCCAGAAGATTACTAAAAAAACAAAGAAGTAACAACAGATTATGTTTGGAGTCTTTTTGTTGATGAATGCAACTTGAATACCACAAAAGAATCTTCAATTCGTTGGGCAGAAAGACATGGGTTAAAACTTGTAACGTGCAAACAACTTACATAAAAGCGATTCGATGTAAAGGGTTTAGGAAAATTCGCCCGATTATATTTCGCCTGTATTTTTTTCGCCTGCAAAAAATCAACAAAAGTTCAACACTAAACAATTATGAATCAAGTTTCTTTTTTTATATAAATTTTGCTTAAAATATGTTTTAATATCAACTAACTTTTGTAAACCAAACACTAAAAACCAGTTATTAATTTCTGCTTTTTCTGATCATTTTTCTCAACTTTTTAGTTTTCTGATAATCAGACACTTTTCTTGGCTTTTTTTCATTGTGAGCTTTAGTTGCTTTTTTAGTTTTCTTTTTCAAGTCTTTTAACCTGTCATTTATAGTGTTAACATCTTTTTCCATATTAACAAAAACAAGAGTGCTCTCGTTTAAACTGCTGTGTGGATCTTCTATTCCATTATGCGATGAATGGCAAAAATGATTATAATTTGCAACTTCTGAAAGTGTACTTTTTCTCATAATTTCAATCAATTCATTTTCTTCGTTGACTTCTTTGATTGCAGTATTCATGTCCAAATCAAACAGAATTATGTTTTGCTTGCTAGATAAAATGGTCACACATTTTTAAGGAACACAATTGGGTCAAGTTTGTTTTCGCCGATCAGTTGGTTTTGTAGTTCTTCTAATGTCAAATTTTTCTTAATCGACAAGTATGATTGGCGACTTTTTTGAAGGTCAGTTTCATATGCTTGATATTTCAAATTGATAATTTTTTGAAAAGACAACAATTTTTCCAAAAACTTATGGATGACTGGATGTGTCGTGCCGATGTATCTGTTAAGTGCGGAATGGAAACTTTCTGACCTGTTATTTGTTCTTTCAGATAATCCAAACACCGACCAATTTGCTGTTCTAAACACGCCTTTGATATAGTTGTTTTCGAAATACTCTAGAAACTTTTCAAAATCTTCATCACCACACATTTCACTTTTGATTCTTTTGAATGTTTCAACAATAACGTCTTCTGGTAAATAAGCAGTTGCCATGAGCATTTTGACACCCAACTTAAAAGTGTCTCCTTCCACAAAACGGCGAGACAATCCCATTGTCAATACTCTCCTGTACAGAGATTGGCAAAAGTGGAAATGACAACATTTTATTGTCACCTCATTTCCAAACAGGTCTTTAAAATGTACAACCTCAAAATCCCCCATAACGACAACATTATTGTGAAACACTTCTTTATCACACAATCTTTCAATTTGATTGAATAGTTTCGAATAAGTCTCTTTTGTTTTAGATGTCAAACAGGCATAAAAAACGGGGAAAGACTCTCCGTTTTTTAAAGCGTGCAAAGTGTACAGTTGTGAAAATAGCTCTGTAAATCAGTTTAAACTGACATTCACAAACAATTCAATTATTATAACAACAAAGTCTTAACTAAAACAAACTAGGACACGATTTAAAGGTCCCATCCATCATTATCACGTTTGCATTGATGAAAAACTCAAACAAATTCCTGTTTCCAAAAATTAACATGTCTTCGTCTCTAAACAACAGAAATGTCATTTCTTCTTCAGTAAAAGTAATTTCTTCAATTTTTGATGGATTTGTTGCTATTTCCTTTTCCAATCGAATGGTTCTTGCACAAGCAGACAGTCTTTTAACGGAGCCTTGAACATAATTGTCTACTACAATTTCAGCGGTAGTTTTGTTTTTAAAATTAATACTTTTGGCTGTTTCTTTCATTTTTAAAGAGCACAAAGTATCATAATATGATGTAGAATCATGTTCGTGCGGTAAATCTTTCATACATCCAGTTTCTGTGGCGTTTACCATTGCACTACCTTGATACTCAACTTTAATTCTTTTACGACAGCCAACAATTGCACATTTAAAAACGATTCTTTTCGAATCAGTTGGAATGTATTTATAACCATCCACAAATGGTAATAAACAATTTCTTGAAGAATTCAATACAATGAAATGTGGAGGCTGTGGAGGATTCATATATAAAAACATATTGAGATGGTTATTATTTACACAACTTTAAAAGAAAGGTTGTTTATATTAATAATAACTTTAATATCATCTAAGAATAAATTGAGTCGTTAAAAATATCTATCTGATAATAAGTTTTATTTTTAATTTTAAACAAGTGGTTAAAGTGGGTTTTTGTCAGTTTTGCGCTAAGTTGCTTTGTTGAACTTCTTTTTGATTGGAAATGGTAATTTTTGGAAATGCTATTGATTATATTTGCCTCTTGTTGACACACTAAAAGATCTTCTAAGCTTTTTGTTGCCAATTGTTTGATTCAAATTACATATAAATTATAATTCTATGATTCGGATTTTTATTTTTATAAATGGTTTGAAATAAAAATATCGTTTCAGTTAAATTTACAAAAAGTTGAACTTCTATTGAATTTTTTCAGGCGAATAGTAATCAGGCGAAAAATAATTGGGCGAGTTATCCGTTTCCCGATGTAAATTCCATTGATGTGTTAAATTACTTTTTGACTCTTTAAAATAGTGTTGATAATTGTTTTTCTGGTCTTGTTGTTAACATGGATGAAATGGGTTACAGTCCAAGAGCAGATTCTAAGGATGGACACTGTTTTGTTCCAATGAATTATGAAATGAAATTTGTGTATTGTCGACAAGAGAGGGATGAACGACATTGCACTTTAATTGCCGCAGTTGCTGCTGATGTTTCAACTCTAAAACCAACTGTCATTTTGCACGTTTATTCCATTCCAAATGAATATAGGTGTAATGAACTAACGGAAAATAATGTTTTATTCCGATACGGTGTGTCTGGATTCATTACGCGTGAAATTTGTGAAGACTGGATTAGAAATGTTCTGCTTGATTATATTAATAGAAAACGCGTTGAAAATAAAAATGAAATGAATGCGCTTGGAATTGAAATAAAACTGTCCGATCTTAGAGCTTGTCTAGTGTGGGATAATGCAAAAAGCCACAGTTCCTCGATTATTGAATTGTTGCTCGCTGAAAATAACATAACTCTTGTTAGATTAACTCCACATGCTTCTCATTTCCTTCAAGTTCTTGATTTGGGAATATTTGGTAGGCTTAAAAGAAGAATGTCTTCTTTAAAAGCGAACGACAGTTTTTTAAATTTGCTTTTTCAAGAAGAAGTCGAGAAGGAAGATGTGGATGGTAATTTATTTTGGGAAGATAAAAAACCAGATTTTTACAATATTGAACTCGGAAACAGACTAAGAGAGTTGATGCTATTGGTGGATTCTTTTTTGTGGTTACAACACCTCCTTTTAATATTATTGCTTTTAAACAAGCTGGATTAGTCAACTGGATTGACAAAAAAAATCCAAAGTGTCATGTATCCATTGAACATTGTAAATTTGTAGAAACGCCCCAATACAGAGAATTGTTTAAACAGTTTATTCCAAAACCAATTCCGTTGCTTCAAAAGAAAAGAAAGACAGTATTACTCCCTTTCCAAATTGAAGTTAAAAGAAAAGAAAGGGAAGTAAAAAAGCATTAAAGGACCAAAATAAGATAAGGAAAAAAGAAACCATTGTTTTAAGATTGCCGTTGTCTTCTAAACCATTCAAAAAACTTGACAAAAAATGATTAATTATTTTCTTATTTTCTTTTTTTGATTTTTTCATGTTATTTATGTTATTCTTAATGTTTTTTATAATTATAGTATAAAATAATAAATTATAGTTTCTTTAGACCATTTGTCGTGTTTTTATTGCTTTTAGCGGGTGACTATAACTGTTTATTTAACTAAAATTAATAATAATTATTATTAATGTTAATAATTAAAAATATTAATAGACAATTAATATAATGTTTTAAAAACTGGGATATATACGTTATTTAATAATCCAATAATTTAATCAAATAAAACTATAATATATAGTAAACAATATGCTGATAATAAACTTACGTACATTAGTATATAATAGTTATATTATTATTTAATAAAAAATACAAAAAATGTAATTATTCCATAAAAAGTAATGTTTTTGTTTTTATTTGCTATAAAAAATAATAAAACAATTATTATATTAATGGTTTTCTTCAATTCGTAAATTCCAAGAATAACGAATTTTCTTAAAACATGACAAGTGCCCGCAAATTTATACAATTTAAGACTAATGTAGGCGGTTTTTAATAATAGAGTCAGTCTGTAAACGTTGTACACCTCAGAATCTTCTAAATAACGGCTAAATCTTCTACAAAAAAAATAAAATCTTAAAATAGAACATTAACCGGCCAATAGTATTTTTTTCTTTGGCAAAATGCACGAGACGCAAAAAATTGTGTTTTTTTTATAAATATAAAAATGAGAAAAAAATTCTAAAAATAATTTACATATAAATTTGCTATTGTATGAAGAGGCATCTTTCAGCAATTTTCACATTACAGCAAGAGATCAGACACTAGGTTTTTACAACTATTCTAATGCGATTTTAGCTTTAAGTTTGAAAAATAATCGACCACTTTTTTTCCAGACACTAGTAATGAGTAGAAAAATCTTTATCATAACTGTGACAACATCGGAGTAGCAAGACAAACTTATTAAATTTATTTTTTTCGTTGATTTGTGCAGAATGGGTTTACAAAAGAATTGTTAGTTATTTAATTAAAAAAAATCTAAAAATATTTTTAAGACATTTAATCTAAACAAAAACAATAACCAAAATTTCAATTATATTTTTTTAAACGCGTTTTTTTGCGTCTCGTTTATTTTAATCGGTTAATAAACATACCAATACATTTTCTTTTTATATTATGTTTTTCTTTTTCCAAATCAAAAAGAACATAAAACCAACAAAATCATTTAATTTCAAGATCTTCTCTTTTTTGTCGTAATCAACAAACACCTCAAAAACCATGCCAAAATGACGATATCGAGTTGAGACCGTTCAATCGGTGAGAGTCAACTGGTTTCCACTTGATTAAGTAAACATCGTTGAGTAATTAAATAAAATCCAGCGTATTCATAGAGAAGTATTTTAAAACTAATCAAGTGACCATTGCATTATTGGATGTAACTGATGTATCAAATTGTGTGTCCTAATTTGTAAGCACATGTATAATAAACGTCATAAGTTAACAAACTTTCAGGTTGGGTTCAGTGGTTTATAGGTTTCAGATGATGCTTTAAAACGTGGTTTACATTTAAACTATTTTATATTATAAATATATAGTTTTCTTTTATATAGTAAATTATATAATTATTAAATTATTATTAAATTAATTAAATAAAATCATATTTTTATAAATGTATTATAATTTTTACACTGGAATATTTGTATTTTGAATTAAATATCATATACAAATTCAATTTACATTTCAATTAAAATCTTCGAGTTTTACTTGTATGTTCTTATACAACAACAATCCATGCTTTGTTTCAATTTGTGATCTTTCGACACTTCGGTATTTCTCTCTTAAGGTTTTAAATACCTTTTTCTTTTTTACTTCTTCACTCACTTCGTTTAAAACAGTTGTATTTTCACATTCTATAATTTGTTCTGGTGTAAAAAAGCAACTCAACTTTCAACAAGATTGTTTTACAACTTCACAAACTGTAGCAAATTTGTTAAGAATCCTTGGCACTAAACCACAAGAAATAAAAGATGATATCACATTTTTGTTGTTGTAACATGTTGCCACAAATTAAGCACAGACATTATTTGAAGTGAATTAAACGAGAAATTTAAATATGAATCCTTGAGGAAGCACTTTTCATTATTGCAGACCCTTTTCTGGTTACCTAATATCCCACATCGAGCATTTGAAGAAGATGGGATGAATGTGTAGGCAGCAATACATCTTTAACATTATTTGCAGTCAAAATAGACACCGATTCCAATCCCAAATGCGACCCAAAGCTATCCAAGATCAAAATTGCTGGATAATGATAAAAGTGTATGGCCCTCCTTTCGACCAAATTCGTGATAAATACAAGTGTCAACCATTCATTAAACAAATAAGTATTCATAAATGCTTTTTTTCGAGTGCTTTATATACACATTCTTTTTTGTCATTCCAAATTCCAAAAGTTCCTTTTCAATCGTTTTGGTTGGTACAATAAATAACAATGGCAATGTTGTTCCATCCATACAGATGGCTCCCATCATAGTTATTCTGTTTCCATTCCTATATAAAGGGAAATAAACACATCCGTTTCTTGCAACGTTTGAAACAATTATTGCTTTATTGGATTTGTCAGTCCATTGCTGAAATCCTGATTCGTCACAATTAAAAACAAAGCTTATTTGAATACCCGTTGTGTTTGTTTCCAGGTAATCAAAAAACAAATTGATTGATTAGGTTGTCACTTTTATCCTCTCACTTATTATAGGAATTCCTTTTACTGTTGATAATCGAGGTTCTTTTCCTATTAAATCACATAACATCCACAAGTTAACGTCTTCTCTGCCAATCTCATTTGCAACAAACAACATCAACTCTGAATAGCCAACTGGATCATTTTCAAATTGTTTCTTTTTAATATAATCAACAATTGAGTTCTTTTCGATTGAACTAAACACTCTTCTTCTGCCAGAAACTCCCTTCTCTTGTTTTATCATTTCCAATTGCCTCCTTCACACACTAACACTCACTGAAGATGTAATACAGGAATAAAAATTTGAATTTTGTATATTACACTTTGCTGACATATACTCATACAATCTGTACATTTGAATTCTTCTGTTATGTGCGGTTTTGTTTCTTTTTAGACTCACAAACCTAATTATATGATTCATTATTGCTTCATATTCAGCACCCCTACCACTTTTAATTAAATAATCAAAAAGAAAAGTACAATCAAAACAATCATCTTCCATTTCATTCCAATTTGCACATCTCTATTTGAATTGTCATTGATGCACTCCATTTCTATACTTGATTCCGTGAATGATTCACTTTTTCCACTTTCTTGATTGTGTTGATTATCAATTTTAGTATAAATGTGATTTGGTCAATTACATCGTTGTTGTCAACTTGCGCCATAATAATCGGTTGTTCATTTTTAAATACCGGTTCGGGTTCTTCGACTGGAATTGGTTGAATGTAAATGGCTTGGTCATTTGGAAAGGGAATGTTGTCTTGATATATACACCTCATCAATTGTTAAACCCCATTTCTTGGATTTGAAAATCGGTGGAGATAATTCAAACAAATTACATTGTGGTCATTAATTCCTTTTATTATATTTAGTGTTGTCATTATGTTATTTGTTATTTCTTTCATTGTTATGACCCATTCAACAGTCTTTTGAACTTTTACAATTGAATCTTGTAGTTTTGTTGTTGCATTATTATAGATGTTAGTATAGTCGTAAATGCTTTTGTTGTGGTTTGAAAGAAGATCGTAGTTTAGTTTTTCTAACTTATCTCTCAATGTTTCTTGGTTAATGACACTTTGATTGATAGTAATTGATGGTTTTAACATGTCATTAAAATCGTATTGATTCATGTTTATAACAGACCATGTTGAAAAAACATGAAACGGAAGTGGTTGTTCAGTGCTCATTTGTGTTTTAAATTTTCAGTTTCTATGATTAAAAATTAGTTATTTTTAGGTTTTAGTTTTTTTGCTTTGTTTAATAAAAGAATTTTTTTGTTTTTTAACTTTGGTAATGATCTGTTTATTGACCCATTTTTTTCAAGTGTAAAATGGCTTTCATATTAAATTATATATTTGGTAAAAAATTATTGGTAAATATTGTAATATTTCCATGTAGATTTCTTATTTGTATATTTTTAAAAATATAACAAAAAACAACGTTTGGGGAGTGTACAACGTTTACAAACTGACTCTACTTTATTTTTGTAACTGACGTTATATATTTATCGTTGAAGATTTATCGAATAACATTTCTATAAACCTTAAAATGTTATTTGTTTATTGGAATTATTTTTTTTCCACCACCACATTTAAAAATTTGATGGGTTGGAACAAAATTCACTTCCAATATTTTTTTTGGTGGCACTGTTTGTATTAATAAAGTCTGTTTTCTATTAAATGATATTGGGGTTTTACTATAAAATATAATAACAGTATTATAATTTATAATAAAAATAAAGTGGTTTTTCTAAAAAATGGTTTGTATTTTATTTTTTTGTTTTTTTAAAGTGTACTAAAAATAACAAAAAATGAAATTACTTCACAACTGAAAAATTTATAAAGCAAAAACGAAGAATAAGTTGGTCTTGAAATGTGAATACGACGAAATAAACTATGTCTACTAGGTTATTCAAAATGAATATTATGTCAATTGTTATAGAGCAGACATGTCAAATTATCATTTGGGTCATATCGAAGACGACAACAAGTGATATGAAAAAAGTCAATGCTTAGGATTTGTTTATCATTAGTTTTAATCAATGACAATTTTATTAATAGTTTATGGTTTTTAATTAGCGATATTGGGTATAGTAAATAATGGTTTAATATTTTCGGTCTTGTTCTTTTCTTTGTTATATTTTTAGAATAACGCTAAATAGAAAACAGACTTTATATTAAATTTTTTGAAATAATTTAGTTGACTTTCTGACAAGACACAATAAACACATCAACATTTGTGGGTCATCATAAGTGTGTTTATTTTTACCAAGTTCAGTTTACACAAATTGTGTGAAAATAATCCAAAACATATACTTTCCTCAATATGACAATAGTAGTTTGTGTCTGTATAAGTAAGACAAATTTTCTTAATATCAAAAAACTATTTCGGACTTGAAAACTTTGTGTGTTGGATGTTATGTTTTTTTATCCAATTAGAAATAATTTAACCCTTCCAGTACCAAAAATTTCCAAAAAATGTAAACTTATTTATATCTTATTTATTTTGAGTGTATATTAGAAAGAAATCATGCAAAAAACGCTTTAAACTTTTTACAACCATGGGGAATACCAGGAAACAAAATTAATAGTAAAAAATAATTGAATTTACTACAAATAGTAAATTTTAACCTAAAATCGTATTTTTGTTGAAAAAAGGTTCACTTTTTCTGTGTGGAAAACTTGACGACTTTTCCTGTAATTATTTTCAAGTTTAATTTTTTTCTTTTTATATCAAAAACTTGTGTATAGTATAATAAACTATACATTATAAGTCTTTCTAAAAACAGGGTTTTAAAAAAAGAAAACGTATCAAATAAAATTCTGATAAAATTCTTTTATTGAAAAACAAGGGATACGTCATACTTTGATAATTCCAAAAGTAATTATTTTAATTTAGTTTACATTGTAAATGTTTTAATGTTTTGTAAAAAAGTTAATTTTTTATTGAATTTTAATATATGTAACAAACAATCAAATACTATTATATTGTATGTGCAACCACACTGATGGTTAGCGTTCTCACTTTATGAACTTTTGTTGAGAATCATATGTATACGAGATATATTTACGAAATTTTTCATCTTAACTATCGTTTTAAAAAAATCGTTTTCATTACACAAAATAAATTAAATGTATATTAATAACATTACTACCTTTTTCACATTTTAAAGAAAGAACCTTAATAAACATTACTCTAAATTATTATAAAATATATTTTATAACTAATATGTATGACACAACTGTGTTAGACTTTTAATTTATATAACATACAAAAATAAAACGTGCAAACTTTTTATATATTATAAATGATACATCAAACGTGAACTGAAAAATACAATATTAAAAATAAATACTGTATAATTTAGAATAACTTTTAGTTTACGGATTTAAGTTTAATTTCATTTGTATGCGTGTTATAACAAGCATATTTCTGGTATTGGAAGGGTTAAATGATAAATGGTGTATACTGTGTATTTTAAATAAAGATTTTATAAACACAATTAACAATGATTCATAAATAAAATTGTGTTATTTGTCGTAATATGGGCTTCATATTATTTCACAAAAAAGTTATTAATCTTTGTGTGTTGATGATAAATATCTATTATTAAAATGTAACCTTAACACCCAAGCAACATTAATAAGACGAATTTGTTATAATGAACAATTCATTGTTAAGTGATTTTTTGGTATAAATAATATGTAGATGATTTCTTAATTGATAAAATTTAATCTTCATTAATAATACATTATATGTCTATACTTTATTGTTGAAAATGGATATAATTTGTATGAGTTATGTACAGTCCAATTTAATTGTTTTTTATAGTAATTAAAATTCATATAACTTACCAGCCGAACAATGGTTAAATTAAGATATTAAAACACCTTTATTCAGGAAAAAAACCCGAATTTGTACACATTGCATTCGTAAATTACAACCATTATTGTTTTCAGTTGGTATTACACCTTAGCTCCTTCTCATTATGGCTTGATTCAATTTACATGCACATTTTATTAATTATATACAATTTTATTGAACTGAATTACAAAATGTTCAATAAAGTTTGGTGTTTAATATTGTTGTTTTGTTTGGCAAGTATTTTAATTTTTTATTTTTGAAATTGTGTTTTTGAAATTATACAAAATGGTTTTCAACATGTAACAATTAATATCATATTTTACTATAATTTAAAAACAAAAAAACTATTTCCATTAACTCTAGTTCAAGATACTAAAAATTATAATCTTTTTGCTTTCAAGTATTTAATATTTACAATTAATTATTATATTATATTATTAATTGAAATTAATTATAATGTCTAATTAGTTAGAGTTAAAATAAAAAAAAAATCATTTGAAATGTTTAATACTAATAGTACTTTAAATAGTACTTTTTGTTAATAATATATATATACAATAACTTGAATCAAGACGTCTAAAAATGAATGGTATAATTATAACAATATAATTATAAATTTATAGTAAAACGAAGAGCGAAGGAATAAGTAAAGAAATCAGTCAGTTAAAGGACTAAGACGGGAAGAATTGAACAATGAAAGAAAAGAGGAGAAAACTCGAAAATAGGAATGGCGACAAAATCGCTTATTGTTCTTCAATCGCCGACAGTGAGTATTTCCTTTCCAGAAACACTTCTTCAAAACCCAAAGACACGGACAACGACGTTGTTTGACATTTATAACACACACCAAGTTGCCGACAAAAGCGCGAGTGTTGGTGTGATAGAAGACGACTGGTCTGACTTTGAGATGGAGGAGCTGCGCGCACTGATTTTTTACTTGATGGACCGTCCTTATGTGATGGTGTCTTCTGACGTGAAGAGTGTGATCCCACAAATTGGGGTGTTGGTTAAACATGGAGTTGGAATTAATGAGGCTGTGTCGTATTTCATGGTTGAAAGCAAGTTGGAGGCAGTGAGAGTTCTTGTGAAAGGGATGAATGAGGAACTTTCGAATGCGATTCAAAACAACAACAATGTGGCGGATAAAGTAGTGATACAGAAGATGTTTGCTGAAGTTGAGAAACAGAAGAAGACGATAGTGGGGAGGTGTCCACGAGAGATAGAAAACATCAACGAGTGGGCAAAAATGAATATGCTGACCCCTGTTTCTGGGAGCATATCTCCACGTTTTGATACTTCGATGTCTCCAAAGAGTCACGACTATTTCGAAAAGAATGTAATAAAGAAGCCAATGGGGCGTGGGAGGGCAGAGACGTGTTTTGAGATGGGGGACAACAGTGGGTTAGACTTTGTGAATGAGAAAAAGAAAGAACACACAGAGAAGAAACGCAGTGAGAAGAGGCGAACAGTCGAGAAGTTTGGGAAGGTAGAGAAGTGTGAGAGACGTGTGGAGAGTCCAAGTTTTTTACCACTTGGGCCAAATGAAAAGAACGAGAAAGAAGACACAAAACAAGATGAGAAGGAAACTCTCAAAGACGGTGTGAGTGGTGGAGAGTCTAAAGATGAAGTAATGAAAGAGGAGAAGCAACAACTGACTATGAAACAGAAAGTAGAAGAAACACTTTCAGCGTTTAAGGTGACAAAAGAGAAGAGTGAGCCAATCGCATTTCGACAGACGTCACGATTCTTTAAGAAGAAAGGCACAATTGCAATCAAAGAGAACACGCCACCAAGTGTAGATATAGCTCACAAACAAAATGGGTCATGTGGAACACTTCTTGAAGAATCTCTTGTTGAGGGGCGCTCAAGTTCGACGGAGGGAAAGATCAATGCAAAGCACTCCCGACTGATGGGATTGAAGCGTGATAGGGTCCAGAGTGCGGTGATTGACTTGTCGCGATTACAACAAACCCTCAACGACAATCCACTGAGTCGATCGAATGTGCACAGCTTCCCATCACAGCAGACTTTTGTGAATTGGACAAAAGAAGCTGTTCAGAAGTTGACAGTGATAGAGAGTGCGGTGAGGGGGTGTCTAGTACGGCGGAAGTACAAAGTGAACAGTTTGTTAATGCGCAAGAATGTCATCACAGAGATAGCAGACACAGAGAAGAACTTCTCAAAGAATATGATTCTGATGGACGAGTTCTTCCGGAAGCCTCTCTTGTCTTTGGCCGAACAGAAAGTTGTTGCAGCGAGTGATGTGAGTCTTGTCTTTAACAAGTCGTTTGAGCAATGTCTTCGCAATAGTATTGAACTGTCAAAGCGATTTCGAGAGATGTGTGTCAACTTCAAGGCAACAACACTACTTGGTGAGAAGATAGGGGAGTCAATCTACTTGGCTAGCGCTTTACTTGTCTTCACAATGGATTACAACATCTCACTGAAGACGTGGAAGGAGATGAAGAAGGCGGGATGCGTTCGTACGTTGGTTGATATGAATTTGAATGAAAAGGAATTGGAGAACAGAACACTGGAACAACTCCTGATTCAACCCGTCCAACGTTTAATGCGATATCCGATGCTGGTCGACGTGCTAATTAAAGCGACCTACAAGAGAAATCCTGACTATGAGTGCCTCAAGAACGCTTACACACAATTTGAGTTGTTTTCAAATGTCGTCAACGAGCGGACTAAGATGAGAGATGGATTGCAGGAAATGTGTGAGGAGTTGAACAACGCAGATCTCTTTGTGATGGGAAGGTTGCTTGTCTCTAAATATCAAGTTGAAGTGAAAGACTCGAAGAAGAAGGGATGTATAGTCTGCGTCTGTAATGACATGTTGATCGTCTATTCCGGAAAGACTAAGGACAAAACAGTCATATTGGAAATCAAGTTGTCTGGAAGCGTCAATCTCGTGCAGAACGGAAAGAGCGTTGTAATCAACGAGTATGGAAAGGCTCCAGTCACACTTGTATTCAGCGACAAACGGAATGCAGAGAGCTTCAATAAAGTTGTCTCCGGGATGATTCTTGACGAGTGGTATGTCCTCGACGACGACAGGTCTTATGGTAAACTGTTAGTAAATCTATTGAATTGATTTTTTGTTATTCAATGTTGTTATTGATATTATTTATATTTTATAAACATATGTAAATGAAACTTAATTTATATTCAAGCAGAAACACTTTTGTCAAGAGACTTTTAATCAAACAAGTTAAATGAAAAAAGGTAGATGTATATTTATTATAACAATTTTTACTATATGAAATACTTATTGTTATTATTATTTATTATATAAATAGAATTATATATAATTTGTATTTAAACCAAAGTATTATAGCGGTAATTTATATACATTAGACGAGGAGTTGACTGTGATAAATTCTTGTGTGTTACAAAACATTTCAATAGTCTTAAATAATAACAGCATAAGTTTATAATATACGGTACAGTCTTTCAGAACCTTTCACCCAACCTATCCCTTAGCAGTGCTTGAGCTGCATCTCCAGCGATTGCCAGTCTTTGGTTGGATTCATTTCTTCAAGACCCCTTTGACTTACTTGAATTTCAAATTCATCTGCATATGAATTCTCAACTTCTCCTAAGTCTCGGGAAGTATATTCTTTCTTGATGACTGTCACTAGTCAATGTTTTTAGTGACACATTCAAAATATTACAGTTTTTCCTCGTCAAAACACTCAATCCATAATATATGGATTAAATCCATTGTTGATTGCTTTTTTCTTTTTAGCATCTTTTTGAATCCCAGCAGTCAAGAAACCAAGGTCTTCGTGATTCTTTTTTGCTTGGATAATTTTCATTCTAATATTTTCAACTTCCAACCACATCAACAATTCATTATTAAACTTTTCTTCATCTTTAAACATTACATTCTTCAGTTTTGTCAACTCTTTTTGGTTTAATTGCTCATATTTGTACCAATAGACTTTGTGACCGTTGAAATATTCAGTCATATACATATGGAAGATTGGAGTATGAACATTATCTTCAAATTGAATAAAATCAATAATGCATCTAGTTTGGTCGATCACCTCATACAAGGAGTCAACAAATATATACTTGAATATATATTTATATCTTATTGAACATAAGAACCAAAATGCATTAATATGTGATTGTCCCAACTTTTTAATTTCACTGATTATTTCAATCAACATTTCTTTTGAGATGATTATCTGTAATCGGGTTTCGCATTCTTCTTTAATATATAACATGAAATATAAAAACGGTCGTCCAAATATAATAGCCCTTTTTATTATATCACGGTTTAATAAATAGTCTTCTTCAACTTTGACAACTATTGAGGCAATTAAAAGCGTAGTCATAACATAAGTGATGTAGATTAATTCGTAAGACATTTTTTTTAATTTTCAAAGTTGAAAAAGTTCTCTTTTAAACCTGTTTTTGAGTTTTTCAAATAATCGATTCAAATGGTTTTATCTTTTCTATTTAAATAAAATTTGTTATTTTATGATGGTTAGCTTACGTCAAAAGTTTTTTTGAAGGAACAAAAAAGACTTTTGGAAATAAAAAACATTATTAGGAAAACAAATTTAATTTAATAATATTAATTTATTATTAATAAAAAATACTAATGTAATATAATAATTCATTTTTATTGGATTTTATTTCAAAATATTCAAAAATTTATTTAGTTTTTGAGTAATTTTATTTTTAATAAAATATGTTACCCTTCATACCCTTTACAGTAAGTATTTTTCTTTTCCCAACATTAGAGCAAAAACTGTTTTTGTTTTCTTCATAATTTTGTATAACCTTTATTGGTTTTACAATAAAGGTTATACCTTAGCCCAAAGAAAAACTAATTTATTTCTATTGTTATATTAAAATAATAAACTATACCGATATAAAAGTCAACTTATTAAAATATTTGTTTTTTTAGTAAAAACCCGTGTTTTTAAAGAAAAATATAGAAATTTTTTTGGGCTAAAGTACATTTTTAGCCCAAAAAAAGGTTCATTTTTACTACTGTAGATACAATATCTATTAAAAATACTCATATTCAATTTATAACGAAAAATTAGTCATTTGGAGCTAATAAAATGTTGCGGGAACACTGCGTGTGTGAGAATGCCACACCCAGCAAAAACGCGCTTTCCAAACTGCTTCAGCGATGGTCCAAACGCGACAACACGCAATTTCTCGCAATCACTGAACGCCTCTTTTCCAACGCGGCTGACGCTGACCCCAATAGTGATCTCAGCCAGTGTTTTGCATCCCGAGAAACATGACTCTCCGATCGTTTCGACTCCATTTCCGATGTTCACTTGTTTGAGATCGATGCAGTTCATAAACGCCATTCTCGCTATTTTCGTGACGCTATTAGGTATAGTCAGTGTTTCGATGCCACAATTTGAGAAGCAAGAATTTCCGATATAAATGAGATTAGTTGGTAGAGTGACGCTATTCAGACTAATGCAGTTTTCGAATGTACACATTTTGAGTGTAGTGATGTGTGGTGAAAGCGAAATAGTACGTAGAGAATTACACAGCATGAACGCGCACTTTCCGATCTTAGAAAGACTGTTAGGGAGGTCTATAGTAAGAAGTGCGTTACATTTCTGAAACGCAGATTTTTGAATCGTCGTAAGACGATTTGGCAGTGTGATGGCCTCAAGATGGTCGCACCCGGAAAAGCACATTTTAGGAATAACAGTGATCAGTTTTCCCAACACAACAGACGACAACCCAACACACAATTCAAACGCGTTCTTACGAAGTGTAGTCACCGATGTACTCATAGTGATCTCCTCAAGAATTCCATCATTAGAAAATCCACAACAAGAAATGCCGTCGATGTAGTTCGGGAGGTACAACGTGCGGACTGCTCTATATACATTGTCGCGTTCACAGAGGAAGTATAAAGGAGTTGGTTCATACTCCATCTCGTCACACCCGTCAAAGACGTCTTCTTCGAAGAAACTGCTTCTTTCATACTTTACAGTACTCAGACTTTTACACCCCGCAAAACACCGCGTTTCAACTCTCTCCACTGTTTTGGGCAGTTCGAGTGTTTCAAGATTTACACAGTCAGAGAAGCATCCTTCTGACAAGACACACAGCGACTCGGGAAGGGTTATTGTAAACAAATTTCGATTGGAACTGAACGCGTACTTCCCAAGTCGTGTGACACTATATGGGACTTTGACATGCTCCACGGAAGTATTCGCAAACGCATACTTCCCAACTCCTTTCAATTTCTTTGGTATACCTTTTGAGAAGAGTTTCGAACACCCATTAAAACAGTGCGCACCAACATCTTCGAGTCTATCAATGTTGTCCACTACAGACAAACAAGAACAATTTTCAAAGCAATTGGGTGGAAGGGATGTCGTGTTACTTGGCAATTTCACTTTCTCAAGACTCGTGCAGTAGACGAAGCACTTTTTTCCAATTGATGTGACACTGTCTGGAAGTGTCATTTGCTTGATCGACACACATCCACAGAAAGCAGAGTCACAAATTGTTCTCAGTGTTGGTGGTAAAGTGACACGTTTGAGGTTTGAGCACCTAAAGAACGCGCCACTAGCCAATGAAGTGATAGACGGCGGTAGTACACACTCCTCTGCACTTGTCATGTGACTGTAACAATACCGCCCAATGGATTTCAGTGTCGAGCATATCGGAAAGTACTTCAATGAGACACACCCAGCAAATACCGAGTCACTAAAGCGAGTTAGAGACGACATAAATGTGATGCCACTTAATGCACTACACCGACAAAACACTGACTTCTCAAGCACTTTGACATTACACCCAATAACAATATTGATAAGACTTGCACTCCCACGGAAACACTTTCTCCCTATTGTTGTGACACTGTGTGGTATGTCGACTCGAGTTAAGCCACACTCCTCAAAACACCTCTTTCTGATGTCAACAACGGAGTCAGGGATTGTCAGTGTCTTTAGACTTAAACACCTTGAAAATGTAGAGGGTGGAAGTACTCGCAGGTTCTCGGATAGAACTACATTAGATAGTGCTGTTGCTCCTTCAAACACACATCGTCCAAGGGAAGTCACCGAAGTACTCATCTCAATACGTTCCAAACGTTCACAGACCCGAAACGCACTCCGTCCAATCGTCTCAACACTTGTTGGGATGGATACTGTTGTAAATGTGTGGCCAACAAACGCTTCACGGCATATTTCTTTTGCTCCATGTAATACACTAAAGTCGGAACTTGGACTTTTATACTTTAAATCGTCACGACACTCAACGTCTGTGTCTGCAGATAAATCAGACGAATAGTCTGTGTCTGACGATGTGCACAAGTCGCTCGAATACTCCGACGGGATATCTATTTGGTCTTTTTGTAATGTGTTACTTTCCATTGTTTTGCAGTTTAGTTTGTATTATTCATTTGTCCTTTCATATCGGTACAACAAATAATTTCTTATATATTATACGTTGTAACTTGTGCCGTTATACACTCTTTCTTTTTTTGTTTTCTTGAAATGAATATAAATAAGTGATACACACTTTTTATTAAGTGGTGTTAACTACACTCAATTCATTTTGAAAACAAAACTATGAACTTTATCAATTGAAAAACAATTTAACAACAATTGTTTTAATTATATAACATAGTATATTGTTTAAAATGAAACTATACTTTTATAATCGATATATATCGGTTAATTTTTCTAGGTTCTTTTAATATAATAACCGATAACCCACTTTTCTGTATTTAACGGTGACACACAAATTGATCATATCTTTTTAATTATAATTATAATTAAAAGAAGTAAATATCAATTCAGTTATTTTCTGATATAATACAACACATACGCGTTTGCTGTGACCAAGTCGTTTTCATTCTTTTCTTCAGAAGTGATCGAGTCGTTAAAATTGTACCACTTATTCCCGACTTTAGCAGACGTTGTGTAATGACCGAAGTTAATCGACCCCGAGTGGTTACATATAGCGCACAGCGAATAAATAGGTAGAGTCTTCTGATCATAGCACTTGACGTATTTTCTCAAGTCGAGGTCGTTGACAGGAAACTCGACCAGTGTCGTAACTTTCTCTGTCAAGTTTCCGTTTGCTTCCAAAAACCGTTTCAAGTGAATGACAAACACTTCGCTTGTTTTATACAGTTCAATCTTTTTATGTGATGGCTGGACTTCTTTACACTTCGTGCAAAGTGCTTTATTTTCATTATTAAGTGATTCCTCCTCTTGGAATGTCTCTAACAACTGTGTGAGTGTTACTTTCGTTTGTTCCTGTTTAGTATATGGTGACGTGTATATTTCAATGTATCTGAACGCGAAAGCGTCCAACGTTTCTCCTCTTACAATTCCGCCATTTTCTTGACTAAAAATTATTTTAAAATTGTGGTCTTGTGTTGGGTGTGGAATTTTTTGAAAAATTTTTGTTGGACTTTTTTGCATCTTCTCGGTCTCAGGAGGATTTTTTTTCATCTCACTTTGTGATGTTTGAACTTTTGGGAGTGAAGTTTCAAATGCAGTGGAGTTATTTATATCCTTTTCCTTATTAGTAGATAATACTAATATATTAGTTTGACTTTCTTTGTGTTCTTCTACTGTTGTTGTTAATAAGTTTTGCACTTCTATTTCTTTCTGTGATGTTGTTTGTCTACTCAGACAGTGTTTTAGACTCTCTCCTATAGTCTTCACCTTGACTTGATCTTTCTTAGGACTTTCTGAAGTATTAATGTGTAAAGAATTAACATCTAAAGAGCAAGACTTAGCTTCTATCTTCTCATCTTCTTTAATTCCATCACCCTCTTTTTTATCATCAATTCCATTTGAGAGGCAATTACCACTTAAGTCGTTATAAGGTCTCTCAAGCCAGTCATCGTTGGGAGATACACTAATATCATCTTCCACTAATTGATATACAGCGTCGTCGACTGCATCTAATTGAACGCTCCGAGGAAAGACAAGTGGCACTCTGTATGTGGTATAACTCGAGTAATTGACCACCACATCATACACCACAAACTCTTCGCATTCGCTTTGTTTCTCAACAACAGCGCACTCACTCCCTTCAGTAAAGTAATTTGCTTCATGGACCTTTGTGACATAGTTCTTGTACCCCAAGTCAAGTACCACATACGAGTGACTCATTTTGCCTCCCGCTGCTCTATACAGTCCAATGACTTCATTCAGCACACCTTCTTGTGTTTTATATGTGACGTCTATCTCAAAGCTTTTGATGTGTTTCAAGTATCTATCGAAAATAATAAACTTAATGACTTTGGGCTGTTGCGGGAGTGCAAGTTGTAAATACACAAATGGCTCAAACCTCACATTTTCATTGCGGCAGACATCGCAAAGGAGTCTTGATTTATAGACGCCTGTAAAAACGTCCGTTATAATACTATTGGTGTGTTTTAAGTAATTCTTCCACTCCAGCTCCGCCCACTTAGCTTCGTTTTTACCATCATATTCCTCTTCTTTTTCAAAACCTTTTTCTGTGGTGTTTTTGTCAACGAATTTCGCATTTCTATTCAGGTCCTCGGCAATTTTGTCGAGTAAAACTGAAGTTAATTCTTGTGAGTCGTGTTGGTCGAAGCCAAGAAAATAGGGTGCGGCGGTGTCTATTTCTTTTTTTAATTCAGTCACATCAATAATTTGCGTTTTGTCGGAATAATAGTCGTTGACTAACTCTGCAAATTTGGTGACTAATTTTCCTTGAGTCCCAAGTGCATTCGTTTTGTTGATTTCGCTTTGCCATGTTACGTTTTGGAAATAATTAACAAAAGAGGGAATGTGAAGTAAACACTGTAAGGAACTGTTTAAGTAACACGTGTTACCCAAATTTTTAATTCCACGTACTCCTTTTACGTTTTGTGATATATAAATAGTTGCGGGTTTTGGAAAGTATTTCTTGTAATTTGCACTTAAAAAAGCGTGCTGCTTTCGTTTCTCCTCTTCCGTTTTGTCATCGGTTTTGAAAAACCGAGAATACTGGTTCTTACTGTCCATCAAAACGAAATTCTCATTTTTCTGTTTAAATTTTATCTTTCTACATTTTAATGCAATTTGATAAAATGTTTTGTTTGTTTTTTTATGAATAGAGCAGATAGTAATTATATAATAGTTTTTATTATTAACAAATAGTTAATAATAAAATTGTATTTTTTTATTAAAATATCTTATTTGATTTTTTATATTATTTTTTAATTCTGAATGGTAAATATTTTGTTTTTAAAAAAAATTATAGATTATTTGATATGTATTATTATTATTAAATTAATATTTTATGATGTATCAAAATATTAATTTTAAATAATAATTAATTATAGAGATTATAGAATTATAACCCGACTTTTTACAGTATAACACCATCTATCTTGTATTTGACACCTAACCATATATATGGTATATTATAATTTTAATTAACCAGATTAATATTATAATTAAATGAAAAACAGAGGTGATTGTGGAAAAAACAACAACTAAGAAAAATAAAAACGATCTTGAATGAACTAAAAAAAAATGAAATTTATAAATGTGTGAACTCCAGCGTATAAATGATGAGATGGATGTTCTTGAAAAAGCGTTAGAAACGTTGGGGAGTACTGTTACGATGTTAGAAAATGATGTTACAGTGTGTTATTAGATATTAAATAGCCAATAGTTTCATGAATTTGAATAAACAAATCTTATAAATATAATTCTTTTTCTTAATAAAACTCAACCATAGGGATATCAGAATACTGGTCAACCAGGAATAACTCCAACAACTATAAATGATATTATAACAACAGAGCGTTCGAATTTTGAAATGTTGTGCACTTCGATCGAACAGATCAAACAGAATCAAACCTCTTCACAAGAAATATTTAAAACCTTTACTGAAGAATCTCTCAATGTGTTTTCCAAAGGACAAAGTCATACAAAAGAAGAAGTCCAAAACGTTCGAGATGATATTATTCGTGCTGAAAAAGTCGTTGATTCTTTAGTCTCACAGACTATGGACGTTTGTGCTTTAATATTCCATACTTCATAAAAATGAAGTATATCATGAGTTTTATTTTTTTAATAAAATTATTTATTTTCTAATAAATGAATTAATAAACAATTTAAAAAATGAATTAAAAAATGAAGTATACAATGAGTTTTATTTCAAATGACTTTTATGACGTGTTTACCTGTAGATTGAGTCGATGTTATCATTAGGTCAAATCAGACAATATTCTTCGAAGAATTATCTTCCCAAAATGTCACAATTTGCGGAGATCATGCAACACAATACAATCTATGTGTTGTCATCGTTTTGGGTCTGTGGATTATTGCAATACAATTCGACACCTGTGTTATGCTTTTGGAACACGGAGAAGACTTTAGCACTTCACATCTTCAATACGTTCTGTTTGATCTTTCAAAATAGTCAGGAGTACAAATATGATATGTCTAAAGGATCATTGGCTCGGGTCGAAAAAGACCCACACGTCGCTTTTAATGAAACAGAAGAATACGTGTCCGTCGAAGTACAAAGCGGCGCTGTGTTGACCCCAATGGGTAAGGCTAAACAATCGTTTGTTGTGAATACAGAATGCGTGCTTCTCAGATTCGACTCCGGAGATATGTTGGCTATCGACACACTCGGAGAATCTATCTTCATCGACGGAAAACTCGTTACTATTTGACTTGTGTGTATCTCTTCAGTCGATTCACTGTACTACTATTCATAGTTTTATTATTAATTAGATGCATATGTGTAATTACTGTACCATAATTTATAGTTCTATTAATTATATCATTTAAATTGTATTTTTATTAATTGTATTATCATATATTATATTGATATATTATAATAATAATTAATAACTATAATATATTAATATTATTATACTAAATATATTAATATATTATATGATTAAATTGGTATTTTTAAACTATAAACTAATTTTTATTATAGTAAATAATAAATTGATGTAAGTTGGGATTGAAAAAGACAGAAAGAAACCTTTCTTGAAGGAGGAAAATAAGGGAAGAGGCAATATGGAAAAGAAGACAACCTCACCAGTTAATGACTACGAAGAAACTAAAATGAAGTACAGAAATCTGAAAAAAGAGGTAAAAACACTCGACAAGAAGTCGAAAAGTTTGAAAAAGACACAGGCAACAGATGAAGAAAAGGAAACTATCACCCAGATTCTTAACACAAAGAAGCACGAACTGGACGAGGCAAAGACGCTCTATCACGAGAAGAGGTCTGAGAAATGGAAGCAGAAATTTCACAGGGCCAATTAGCTCACCCTCGTACTATTGAGTAATAAATTTTGACTACTGTCTTTTGGCATTAATTTGCGTATCAAGTAATCTAAAAATAACAACACAATCAATACATGATCATTTATGCCCGAACCTTCCTTTATTAGTTTTAGTATCATGAATGAACAAATCCAATTCTGCTTGAACTTCTTTTGTTATATCCTCTGAAGTTCCTTTTAAAAAAATATGTGTGCCATCGATTTCTTCTACGTCAATACTCTTTTTCTTTGCTATTTTCCTCGCTATAGCCAAAAGGTGTGGCTCTGTCACTGAAAATAGCATTCCTGCCGATTCTTCAAAACACCTCACATCTTGATATGACATTTGTATCTGTTCAATCTTAGTTTCAGATTTCCATTAGTTTAACAATATTATATATATTATATTATATATATATAATATATGATATATAAAATATATTATATATATAAAATATATTATATATAAAATATAAAATATAAAATATAAAATATAAAATATAAAATATAAAATATAAAATATAAAATATAAAATATAAAATATAAAATATAAAATATAAAATATAAAATATAAAATATAAAATATAAAATATAAAATATAAAATATAAAATATAAAATATAAAATATAAAATATAAAATATAAAATATAAAATATAAAATATAAAATATAAAATATAAAATATAAAATATAAAATATAAAATATAAAATATAAAATATAAAATATAAAATATAAAATATAAAATATAAAATATAAAATATAAAATATAAAATATAAAATATAAAATATAAAATATATATTATATATATTATATATATTATATAAAATATATTTTATATTATATATTATATATTTTAATTAAATCTAAAAAGAAACACACCAAAATTATTTTTGATCATAATCCTTGTTTTTAAATGTATCTTTGTGTGTCTGCTTGTCCATTGATAAAGACAATTTTTTTAAAAAAAGACATTTTTTTGATTGAATTAATTATTTTTGAATTGCTCAAATTTTTTTAAAAATGGTTTAAACATCCCGATAATTTACATTATAACGCTTTAAATTATTTTAGTTTTAACAATTTTTAAATGACAACAGAAGATCCAACAATCACAATAATAATAAGTAGTTCATTTATAAGTAAATAATGATATTATCAAACCCATAACAATTTCAAATCATTAATTTCTGCGACACTCAGATAGTGCGTTTTTTTGGTGTCTGTTTTTCGATTTATAAGCTATTACAAAATCACTCCAATTTCAATTTTTTTGAAAATTCGTATTAAATCCTCCGAACCATTTTTTAACTATAATTATAACTTTTAATTTTTAAAATTCAAGTTTTATGTATTTTGTTGGTTTTTCTACTTTGTTGAACAAATAGTAAAATAAAATAATTCTAAATAGTAAAATAATATTAATTCTATTTTTTTAACTTTTTTAATTATTTAATCTAGTTATTATTAATAATAGATTTTTGGGGTTATGTTTTTTTACAAACAATAAACAAACTAGAATTATATCTATAATTTACTATAATCCATAAGTTTCTGAATTCTTCTGATATTTAAAAATGTCATTTAAAGTGTTTTTGACGTTTTAACAAATTTATTTTTAAAAAAAGACGAAAAGTATTATTTTCGATTTGTTCATTAAAAAAATGTTATTTTTTGATTTATTTGCAGTTTTTCAAAAAAATCAAACTAAATTCCCGAATTTTAGCGTTTTTTAAACAAAAACAATTGAATTTTGAAAAAGTTCTCAAAAAGAGGATCTGGTGGAAAAACGAAATTGAAATTGAAAAAAATAACCCAACGTCTGGATAATTGTCTGTCGCAGCAGGTTGAAAACAAAAAGATAAAACAAACAGACCATTATTTATGTTGTCAGTACCCTTTTAATTATAACTTTGTCTTTAAGATACTGAAATTATTTGCATTTTTGTGAATGAAGAGGATCAAAGTTGTCATTCACTCGGATTACAAAAAATCATCAAAACAGACAGATGTTGGAACGGTGGGACATTTAAGCGACAAAAACTTGAACAACTCAACCAGTACAATGAATGTTGTCAAGCAACCACCTCAAGTAATGACTAAATGGGACAAAGGATTCCTTCTCCAACTCGGTATGATCCTCCCAATTGTCCTTGTCTGCATCCCTTCTTCCTTCTCACGAGGAACAGAATTCTTGGACTCTCCACTTCCCACCCCAGTTGACTTAGTGTACTTCATAATACCGTTCACTGTTATCTCGCTTCTGAGAATCGTCTTAGCCCAAAACCTCTTTCTCAAAATTGCAAAGAAAGTTGTTTTTGTCAAACCAGATTGGACAAAGGAATTCACTGAATTCAGATATGAACGTTTTGGACTGACGTTCTTTAAGTTCTTATATTACATGATGATCGCTCCTTTGGGTATTTATTTGTTTAGAAATGAAGACTGGATGCCAGCCGCGCTGTTTGGAAGAGGAAAATCAGATTTGATGCTCATCTATGAGAATTTCCCATATGTACCCGAAGTGAAATACCTCTCCATTTATTACTGTTTGGAGTTGGGATATCATTTCCACAGTCTTGTGTTCCATCTCTGCTCAACACCAAGAAACGATTATTATGACACGTTGCTCCACCATGTTGCAACAATCTTTTTGGTTGTTTTCAGCTATCTCAACAACTGTGGGAGAATTGGGATTTGTGTGATGGTTCTCCACAACATTGTGGACGCCGTGATGTACTTCACAAAGTGCACCAATGACTTCAAAAATCAAATTCCTTGTGACATCGGCTTCATTTTCTTGGTGATCTCTTATGCGAGGTTTAGACTCTGGGTTTTCCCAAGGTACATCATTTACGCTGCTTTCCAGGCGTACCACGTCATTCCTGAAGGAGCAACGGGAGGGTACATTGTGTACGGACTTCTTGTTGGGATGCTGTGCAGTCTTTTGGTTCTCCACATCTACTGGTTTTCACTCATCCTCGACATGGTGAAAAAGTTGTTTTCAAAAAAAGGTGTCGTAGACCCTCATGCAGTGAAACAAAAAACACAAGTTTAACTGTAACATTCGTTTATTTCCAGAGCGCAAAGCTTTCATGTAATTCACTTAATTCTTACCTTGATGAACAAAGCCAAGTTTGACTATTTGTTATACCAATTCATTTCAAATTCAACCATAATTGAATTATCATATAATAATAGAATAACGTAAATAAAACAATCTGAAAAAGCAAACTATCAACGACTTTAAGCACTGATTCGCGTGTTGCTGGGAGATAGACGCATCCCATTTTGCAGTAGACCTCCTTCATGTTATTTCACGTGTTGTTCCCTATAGAGTGTGAGACGATATCATTTCATATCTTTTGACACAATCACACTAAATGAAAAAAACACAAACCCTTCCTTCTGGCAATGTCAACAACTCTGACCTTTGCACTTTCAAGAATTGCACTTGTTCTTGTAATAATTCATTTCCGACAAAAGCGTTTTGAGTCTGTTCCATTCGATTCCCCCAACTGAAATTGGCAGTTCTGAGTGTTCCTCCCGTGAAACCTAAAAAGTGACGAATACAAAATATTAAATAAGAACTTGGTCTTCCTTAGGCTTCGGCGACATATTTCTGACAAACTCCAACACGGCGTCTGCTTCGCTCTCTGAGAATCCGTTCATAGTTTTCACTATTTGGATCAGTGTGTCTTGCATTGGCTGTTTAATAGCTGTGATTTCGTTATAAATCTCCCGACGTGGTTTCTTCTCCTTATTAATTCTTCGTGTCTCCGATGACCTTGTGCTTCTGTCCTCCTCCGTTGAAGCCAAATAACTTTGGCAGCTTCTTGGCATCCGAACGCTCCGGCGGTCGGTGACGGACATCTTTCGCAGTGGTTCTTTCTTTGGTTCGTGCAGTTTTAAATAGTCGATGATGTCTTTCAGAAACTCGCTAGTACTCAATATGTGGTCTCTTATCTCTCCGCCGTCTTTACGTTTCCATTTGTAGTGTCTTTCTTCCCCTCCTATTTCCTTTGTTATTGCAGATGGGAGAAACGAGATGTCCACCTCCGAGGGGGGTTCTTTATTAATATCAACGTGAGTACCAATCGCAGCGGCTTGAACGGGGGAGTGCGTCTTTGCTGGAACTTCCTCCGACTTGTCCAGTGGAATTTCAATCAACTTCGTGTCGCCCGTTTTGTCCTCCATCGGCCTCTTCTTTTTTCAGATGAAAAACAATTTCTATCTTTTGCTCTTTTTGTTCTCAAAAAAAACAAAAACCCTTCAAAGAAAAAGGAAAAACGTCTCCGTCACTTTTTATCTTTTCTTCACGCTCCTTCGCTAACAGGGAAGTTACTATACTTGATAATACAGTTTACTAATTTCTAATAGTACAATAAGCTGCAGTATAAAACAAATTCTATATGTATGGTTACTTATACTACAAGGAGTAATACAGGAAAATGCAAAATCAATCTAAATTTTCAGTGGCTTGGTCAAAATCTTCCTTGGCAAGCTTGACCTTTCTGATAATTCTGTCGAGCGCGTTTTCCAAAGCGACTTTTGGTGTGATGACGCCGTCGGTACGGATTGTCATTTCGATCACATATTTGAGTGGATGTGGTTGTCTATATCCTGCAAAGATGACATGTTTGTCGTTAAGAAGTTCACTACACGTCAACTCTTAAACTGAAGACCTTGTAAACTAAAGAAGAAATAACAAACACTCGAATCATATTCCCTGCCGTGTGGTCTTCTTTGACAAAAGTAAACTTGCAAACATTCCCATTCTCTTCACATAGAATTTTCTGCTCGTTTGGCTGCATACGATATATCTCATTCAAGTCAGGTGCGTTCATTCGTTGCTTTCAATTATTTTTTTTAAGTTTTTATTTTCTTTGAGGAATAAAATGTTATATATAACATTTTAGTCCATTGCATGGAGATTAGTGATGACGTGTTGCATGTCTTTTGATTACTATTTAATTTATAATATTACTTTATTATTATAAAATATTAATTATTATTAATTATTATTAATTATTATAGATATTATTAATTATTAGAATTAAACTAGAAACAAACTAATTCGATCCTCGGGTTGAGTCTTCCAACAATCTTCTATAAGACGCCATAGAGTGACATCACAAGAGTCTGGCTTGGGAAGTCTTTTGTTAGAACAAATGAACTGAGCTATAGACCAAGGGTTTGGGAAATCGATGTCGTTGTAAGGGACTTTGTTAGTGAGTATTTCGTAACATAAGACTGCGAAACTGAATACATCGCTTTGAGTAGTAAGGTGTTGTCTATTCCATTGTTCTGGTGACATGTAAATTGGAGTCCCGACATCGGGCGCGGGAAATGCATTTTTCTCTTCACAACAAGTCTCGAAATCACAGAGTTTAGCGATCACGGGACTCTTGATGGACTTTGAAAAGATGAGCACATTGGCGCTCTTCAAGTCGCGGTAGACTAATTTCTCCGAGTGCAATTTCATGAGTGCCGAAGCGATGTTTCTGTATATAGTAAGTCTGATTTTAGTGTTTAAAAAAATAGGACATTTAGTGCCGATTTGTGAACGAAGGTCGTAAAGAGCGCATTCCATCACGAGTGTTGGGAGTTGTGGGGTGACGGTAAACCCTAAAATTGTTACAACCGTCTCGCAAGTAAATTTACGATATAAAGACATCTCTGTGAGGTACATAGAATATTTGGTTGAATTGTTTTGGTCAAACATGAGCTCTTTGATGGCTACATTAGTCTTATTATATTCCCCTTTATACACTTGCCCATATACCCCAGAACTAATAAATTTGGTTTTCTTAATATCATTGATATCAATATAAAGAGAATGATTTGTTGTAACTAGAAGAGTAAAGTAAGTCGTTGTGTTTTTTATATATACGTTGATTCGACTGTTGTCTTTCCGCAATTTAACAATAACTGTGATGTCAAGAACACCAACTCCATCAGTTAGTACTGTTGAAGAACTCGAAAGAGATATCCAGACGTTTTCAATTGGGGTCACGTTGATTGTTTGTTCTTGCTTAGACTTCGAAGACAACTCTACTTTGATACTTTGAGGCTCACCAACTACACAGGTCATTCTGATAACCTTCTGTGTCGGGCAAATGTCTGAAGACATTGGAATTTTATAATTCAAAATAAATTAGTAAATAGAATCAAATATTATTATAAATAATTATTAAAAATAATATAATAATATAGTTTGTTAAACCATTTTAATGTCATTTAATAATTTAAAGAAGAAGTATTATTCATAGTATATAGTAGTATGTAATACTATACAATAGTCTTAAAGTGTAAATACCTTCATAATTCGTTGAATATGAACATACAAAAATACTCTATTAACAATGCAATGAATCAATAACTGGCGACATACCAAATTGCATGAATCTCTGCTGGGAACCAAAAGAGTAAGCACAGAATAATGCTGATCCAAAAATGAATGCAACATCCCCCGAGAAAGATAATAGGCAATGGGGGAAGAATAAGAGCTAGTATGATCCACAGAACACATCGGCATCCACACTCCATTTCCTGACTCTCTGTTGTTCTTTCTTTATTTTTCTTCACTTAAATACGTTCTTTCCTCCAAAGTGAGAGATTGACAGTTTAAGATTATTTGAATTACTAGTTATATTATAATAATATATAATTTCCCAAAACGTCTTTTTTTGATATGATAAACTATATATTATAATATATTATAAATAAAAATTATTTCAACAATTCTTTAAATGAAGAACTTCTGCACTTTTGACAAAAAACCATTTACAATTTTATTCAAAAAACAAATTCTATATTTGAGCTAATAATAAATTAACAAAGAATTAGAAATTAAATCAAAGAAGGAGTGGCGCCAAAAAAGACGAAACCCTGAAAATTACAAAAGTAGATCGACCACAAGTTTGTAGTATGTCACGTCCTTACCAACGAAGTAACGAATAGTGTCCTTGAAAACCAAAGATTTGAGTGCGATGAACAAGACAGACCTTGCCGCCAAGTTGGTCGAGCTCAAAACTGAGTACGCCAATCTCCGCACTGCAAAAGTGACTGGCGGACAACCAGCCAAACTCTCGAAGTTAAGAGTCGTCAGAAGAAACATTGCGAGACTCCTCACTTTCATGAACACTCAAAGAAAGAACCAACTCAGAGTCTATTACAAACAATCTAAGTACATCCCAAAGGAATTGAGACCAAGAACTACTAAAAAGCAAAGACTCGCTTTGACTCCAGAACAAAAGAACGCTAAGACTAAGAAACAGGCACAAAAGGCAGCTATGTTCCCTATGAGAAGATTCTTTATCAGAGCCTAATCGATTTTTACTATTATAATGTTAAGTACTTTGACTCAGACGTGAAATATGTGTTCTTTATGTTTTTTTTGGTAAAAGAGATTGGCAATTGCTATGTAAATTAACTTAGATTTCAATGGAGTGTTCTATTTAACACATGACTGTATAATTGATTAAGATTTTTATTGTAATAAATAATTAATTAATTCAATCACAATCTGTATGTCTGTTAATTACAATGATAAATATAAAATGATTACTATAAAATATTATATTTAATAGTTATTGAGAAAACTTGAAATTGTGTGTTTGTTGAAATTATTAAATTAAAAAATTACATTTAAACAACCATTTATTAACTATATTTTCAGGAAAAAATTTTACATATCTCATCTTGATAACCTCATAAAACGTCAAAACCAATGTTTATAATATAAATATAATATTATAACTATATGAACAATCACCTTAATAGTTAGTTTTGCCAAGTCACTTGTTAAAGACCATCTCAATTCGGCAGTTCTGAAATTTGAGTGCCACGTGTTTATCTTTTCGCGAAATAAATACCTCTAAATCCATAATTAATCCAATAAAACTTTTTAATAACAATTTCATTCTCTTGTATTACCATATCCCAAGACATGCCCACCACTTTTTTTTATTTTTTTATTTTTTTTGTTTTATATTTATGAAACTATCAATTATAATATAATATATTAAACACTATAGTACATTATTGAACTTAACAATCAAAGTATTTCTTGATGAGTCAAAGATGGTCTGAACGATCCGAAAGTGAAAGCGAAAAAGAAGTTCCAACTCTGAACTGCAAAATACCACAAAAAGTTTGTAAGCAAGCACCGTTGTGAAATAAGAAACTAACAAGTAGTGACTCTTGTATTGCAAGTCTTATTTGGAAAAGAGCGGAATTTGCTGCAGACGAAGAAGATGGCCTTTCAGTTCAGTGCGACGATCTACGACATCCTTGTAGCCATTAAAGACAAACAACAGTCTGATAGTTTGTTAATAGTTCCATTTTAATTTATTGAATAATACGATGACCCTTAGTTAATATGGAGGAGTATGCCCTCTTCCGCCCAAACAATCAAGATAGTAGTCAAGGTGAATGGATGATACCCAAGCGTACTATTGAATCGTACGGGTTAGTCACCGACGATCGCATTTGGTTCCGTGCCCGGATGCAAATAGTGAATGTGATGTTACCGGATGGTTCGCAGAAGAAAATGATGTTAGATGTATGTCAGCCGATTAAAGGCTTAATAGCAGCGATAGCAGATAAGATGTCTCTCCACCACGCCGAAGCCTTTGGGATTCAAGTGTATGGCACAAAGCGCTTCTTGAAGATGAAGAATTCGTTGTATGAAGTTGCTCCGTGTGACGCGGTGTTTACATTAAAGAAGCGCCACTTCATTCAAGAGGGAGAATTGAATCGCGACGACCCGATGTTGTTACATCTGACGTACGTCCAAGCCCATGATAATATAGTCGATGGGTTATACCCCTGCACGCGCGACGAGATCATTAGATTTGGCGCATTAAACATGATGATCGACAGTGGCAAATGTTCCGATGACAAGAAGGTGAATTCGGTGCATCAAGTGAGTCACGACATCATCCCGAAGTGTTACCAATCGAAGGACATCGAGAAGGAGATCTTCAACGGGTGGAAGAAGATGAATGCGATGACTCCGATCGATGCCAAATACAAGTACTTACAGTTGTGTATGACACTCCGGTCGTATGGGATGAATATCTATGCCGGGGGTATTGAGCCCAAAGGTGTCGTTCAACCGGAAGAAGGCAAGAAGAAGAAATTGTCTTCCGTCTTTATGGCGTTTAGTCCAACTGATTTAAAAATGTTGTCTCCGGAACATAAAGTGTTAATGTGTGAACCGTACGAACATCTCAAAACATGGAAATTCTCTGATGAAACAATTACATTCGACTTCGCGAAGTATAATAACGGAGAAACTATTGTTTTCTATACTAAAGAAGGCGAAGATATCTTCTCGTTAGTAGCAGGGTATATGGAGATCATCACAATGAAGGCTTCGAAGGCTATTGTGGACGACAGAGACTTAGAAAAGGCAACTGAAGTCGAATTGACAAAGAAGAAGAAGACGGCTGCTGTGAAGACGACGACGGTCAAGACGCGAATTGCCGCAGTACCTCCACCTATTGCTCAAGCGGCACAAATCACAGATTCTTCAAACGTCTTTGTAGCAAATAAGGAGTATGCGTTACCAGTCAACTTCTCTGTCGATTTGAAAGAGAAGGCGCAGAGTAACGAAGAGATCTGGAGAAACCAATTAAGAAATCAATCGGACAATTTACTGAGTTTGCTGAAGCCCTTGTCTGAAAGCTTTAGAGGAGGAAGTAAAATGGCGAATGAGAAGATCAAGCAGTTTGGGTTCTACGTTGATGGTATTCGAGCGGCTGTTATGAGTGGAGCGGCGTCAGTGGAGGACAGAGAAGTCTTAGAAGCCATGACAAACAACTTAATGGACGCTGTGAGAGATTATATGGACATCTGTGCTGCGTTAGAAAAGGATCCGAACAATCCGGCACTCCTTGCGGCGTTAGCAGATGCTGAGAAACGCGTCCAAATGTGTACACAAGCCTTGAACGCATGTTCACAAGGGTTAGTTATGAACGTCGACCAAGATGTTGTCTTTGAATTGTCGACATCCATCTGCGCTGATGTCGACTGTGCTTGTGAATTAGCTCGAACGTTAGCTGGAGATATAGTTGAACAAGCTATTACGGATGCGCAGACGAATGCGCGGTTATTGATGTATGGGTCACAGTCGATGGGACTTGCCATGTCGAGTGATGAGTGTCAATCGATCATGAAAGATTTGTTAGCGAATTGTAAGAACTCTACTGTCAATTTATTGGAGACGTCACAATTGAAAGGGACTGCTGCTGGTGGACCTCTTGAGATAGATGTCGACGACATTTGTAAAGGGTGTGACTTAGTCGATAACTTTGTGGAAGACATTAAAAACAATAAGAATAACAAACGAAAGAATTTCATCGAATCGACCGGAAATTGTTTGCAGATGGCGGACTGGCTTTCGACGTTACAAAACATGCGAATCGAAGATGTCCAAAAGGCAGCAATTGAGATGAAAAAGGAGATCCCAATATTTGTGAAGTACATGAAGGAGAACGTTTCACAAGTTGAAATCGACGACGCGAAGAGGCAATTTGTGATCTCCAATTTGAAGGAGATGACAGTCAATGCCAAAGTCATCATGACAAATGCGGACCAAACGCAATATAAATCACAGAACAATGACGATATCAGAGAGGCTGCTGGACTCATTGCAGACTCTATTAGAGCAGTCATGGGCGATGAAGTGAATGAAGTAGTTCATAACTCGATGTACTCGGACTCAAAGAAAGCTGCTATCTCCTGTGCGAAGTTGAATCAAATACTTAAGAAGCAAAGTCGCAATGAGAAGAACGCGAAGTATTCTGACCAATTAATGAAAGCCGCACGAATGACTTCATTAGCTGCAGAACAGTTGTTGGCGCCTGTTGAAGAAGATGAGGACGAGAGAAAGTTCATCGAGAAGTCAAAGAAGATCACGAGTGGATATGTCGATATGTCCACTGAACTTGCGTCGCTGACAGAAGTCATTGAAGAGGGAAGATCTGATATAGTAGAAGAGAAGATCCAACTTGATTTGATGATGCAGAAGCTCGAGCAAGATGTGAATACCTTCCAACATCAAGATATGACATCATCGATCCACACTGCATCTTCTGATTATCGTATGGCAGCAACAGAACTGAAGAGGGAATATTTATTATTAGAGTCTGCCACTGAATTTGAAGAGGTTGGAATTAAAGAAGAATTGAATGAAGACGCTCTGAAGAGTCTCGAGGAGTTCTCTAAATTGCGCCATCAGCTTGATGTGATTGAGATGTATAACTACCACACCCCAGAAGTTGTTGCGTGTGTCTCTCAAAAGTCCAAAGAAGTCTTAGAGAAGCTGATTAAAGCTTCTAAGACGTCGAAAAAGAAAAATGAGAGGAAGATGGTCTTAGACGCTGCTATGAAACTCTCGAATGAGACTTCAAGACTGTTAACTGCAGTTGAACAAGAGTCTGTTGGTGTTCAAGTGAATAAAGCGTCAATTGAGAATGACTTAACTTGTGCTGAGAAACAAGTTGTGAACATCTTGAAGATTGAAGAAGCCGTTGATTTCAATATTACACAAGCTGTCGAAGTGACCGAAGAAGTGATTAGTGCGGAGTCTGTTGCATTAGATAAGATGAAATTGAGTACATCTGAGATAGAAGCCATTTATCAGGACATTCAAAAGGAAGTCCAACACAAGAAAGAAGTAGCAGATGCCTCTGAAGACCCCAAATTAATCGTAGAAGCTGCTTTACAAGAAGCTGTTGTTGTTATGATTGGATCATCAATTGGAGTCTTGTCGACAGCAACACAGGCACAGACGGAGTTAGTCGCTCAATTATCGAATCCACAGACTTCCCAAGGCGTATTAAGAAACAAAGAATATGCCGACGAGTTAGTTAAAGCTGTCGATGAAGTCAAAGACACTGCTTTAGAGTTACAGAGACAAGTGAAAGATGATAAAATCGACTCCGATGAGTTAGTCAAGACTGCAGATAAGATCGGGAAGAAGGTCGAAAGAGTTGTCGTCTCATGTCGAGCAGGAACTAAGACTAAAACTAAGAGTAATCGTTACAAAGAATTACTCGACGCGTCTAAAAAGCTTGCCGACGCGACAAAGAACCTCTTAACGTGCGCTAAAGATGTCGACGAATTTGATGATACCCCTATTGTCGTCCAAATGAATATGCCACCTCCCCCACCACCTGTAGTTGTAACGGATGTTAAGGTAGACGATGTACAAGACGACGTCGAAACGTTTGGTATCGACGAGTATACCTTGAGGGAAATCGAACAACAAAAGAAAATCTTCGACTTGGAGAAAAAACTCCAGGCAGCTAAAAAGAAAAAAATCGACTTGGAAGAACTAGCGAAGACTTTTCAATAACTAATCCTTACATGTTATCATGTCGTTTTTTTATACTTCAGTTTACTATGTTTTTATTAGTTAAATGTGATATATATCATCTGTCATTCAATAAACTATTTTTATAATTATTTTTAGTAATAAATATATTCTATTTGAAAAACTAATTCTGGGTGAAGGTCTAGTTTCGGATTCGTCGTATATTTTTATAGCGATTTTGGTGAGGGATAAAAAACAATAAATATTTTAACTATTTGTTATAAATATAATACCAATACATATAGTAAAAAAAGATTTGCATTTAGTTTCAGAACACAAAAAACGTTTTGTTAATCAATTGGAACTAAATTTTTATTACTAACAATAAACCATATCCACCACTACAAAAAATCTACAAAAACAAAAAGTGAAAAAGTTAATAAGATTATTCTTTCATTTCTTTTTACTATAAAAAAAACCATAGTCAACTTAAAACTAATAAATAATTCAAAAACAATGATTTTCCATTGAAATGACCAAACCGACCGGGAAACAAGAGAAAAAAAGACTGAAAAGTGGAAGTCAACATTACCAATAAGAAAAGAGATAGAAAAAAGAAAAGAACTCAAAAAAGTAAAGAAGATGTTTAGTTGGTTTTTCCGCAAGAGCAGCCCTGTTGAGGTTCATACTTCATACATAGATACACATACATGGGTAGCCGAGTTGAACGGTGGAGACCAACTTCAAACTATTAAAGAACTCTTTGCAGTGACTTTTGACGCGGACAACTTTGTAGTGATTGACGACACCACCTCCGTCACCGCGACACTAATAGGAGAGGAGAAGTACCAGTGCACCCTCACATTTGGGTACAACGGTGATAACAAGAGAATTGCAGTCATAGCGTATAACGACGACGAAGACGAGTCGATAGTCAAACCAACGATCAACGCCTTTTCTGTCGAGTTGGAGAGTTACTCATTACTCTCGGACCAACCAATTAAAGAACAAAAGCCAATTGAAAACTCGATGATCCCAATGAAGGAAGTCGTCGAGGACAAAGATATCATCAACGACGAGGAGAATCTGAGTTTCTCGGGAATGCTTCGCGAGAACGTCGATATCAAAAAGATGCTTGCCAAAGTCGTCAAGTACGGGAAGGAGAAGGCAATGCTTGAGGTCAAGACAGAAGCGGGGAAACTCTGCTTTGTTGAGAAAGGAAATGAAACGTTTAAAATAGTGATACAGATCGGGAGAAATAGTGAGAAGCAAAGAGTCATGAGTTTGACTGCGAACGAGAAACGACCATATTGGAAAGAACTGGTCGAGGGAATTATTACCATCTTAATGAAAGGAAGATGTTTCAACTCATATGCGTTGAATGCAGCACTTCGAAAAACACTGAAGAGTACTTCTAAAGTCGTGAAAAACAATACCATTGTGGAGGAGAATAAGGAAGTGGCACTCGATTTAGAAAAGACAAATACTGGCGAAGGGAAAGAGACAAAGGAAGACAAAAAGACTGAAGAAATGAAAGAAGAAAAGAAGGACGTTGCCATCGAAGTGGGTACTCTCTAATTTTTTTGAAAAGGTTTTTAAAAAGTTTTTAAACAATTTTTTGCTATTTCTTGTGTTCTGAACATTTTGTGAACTTTTTATTTCAATTGCGTTGATGGAGGAAAAGATCATCCGTTTGCAGTCTTTTTCGAGTTGGTTTGTTGTGAATATGAAATAATGAATAGAAAGTGTCGCAGAACATGGGAGCAACGATTACAAAGCTTATTTGGAAGAACAAAAGCAGAAAAAGCTTGTTGAGGAAGAAGAGGTGAAGAGTAAACAGCAGGTTTGTGCTAATTCTTTTGGATCGAGCAATATTAATACTTGTAAAACTATTAATCAAAAGAAAAAAAACTATTAAGGAATGGTTCGATGGATTGAAGAAGAAAGAATGACAAGAAGGAAGAGGAGAGTCGATTAGTGAAAGAAAAGGTCGACAAGGAGAACGCGCTTTTTTTGAAGAAGAGGGAAAAGAACCAAAAGAAGCGGATGAGGAAGAGAAAGGCCGTAGTGAAAAAGAGAGAAATTCAGAAGGCGGAGAAATTACAGAAGAAAAAGGAGAGAGACCAGATCACTCAAAAAGTTGTGAGAGTCGAGAACAAGAAAGAAGAAGAGGCATTAAAAACAGTCGAACAACATAATACAAACGACAAAGAACAAAAACTCACAGAAGAACAAAAGAACTCTGATTGATTTTATTAGTAAATTTATACTATTTTATAGTATTACTTTTTTGTGGTGTTTTAAAGGTCATTAAAAATAATTAAAGTGGTATTGACGACCAATTAAAATCCGATATATTCTGTACCATTTATATAATAAAAACAATTAAACGAAATAGTAAACTACAAAAATAAACAGATAAAGCCTACAAGCTATACTTGTAAGGCATGTGCTTGTTGGAGTCGATGCTTGATATTGCTGCAAGTGTGTTAGTGACAATGATTTGAAGATAGCAGCAAATGATAAGGATATCATTTTCGCACCAGTCATTGATTGCTGTTGATGCGGTGCATTCGTCTGAAAACGTTTTGATCCCAAATTTGATGATTTTTAGGAGGATTTTGAACTCGGAGTTGTCACTCTTTTGTGTTGTTTGAATGCGCTCGACATAGCTGACAACATTGGAGAAACACATTTTAATTTTGTTGGAAAGAAGTCGAACGTTTTCTGGGAACGTGCCGATGATTGTTAAAATCTCTTCGACTAAATTTAAAGCATCTTTTCGTTTGAACGTTTGAAGGTTTTTGTTTTGTTGCAGTTCTTTACTGAACCTCTGGAGTTCTCGACTCAAGTTGATCACAAGAGGTGACGTGTTCTCGTCGCTGTTTCCACCCTCTTCGACAAAAAATGAGAACAAGAGACACGTGTCCGAATAAAAACAAATTGGGATTGCCGTGTTTTCATACAATTCTGATATTGAAATATTCTCCTTCATGAATTTGATGAGTGGTGTGTTAGAAAATTTCCCCAAACTGTCAAGCAGCCGTGAAATTGGCAATTTGGTCAATGTTAATGAGTCTTGTTGGGTTTGAAACTGTGTTAAGTAAAACGAGTTTGTGAGGCGGACGATCAACATCCCCAGCGCTGCATTCGTTTCAAACGTGAAATCGACAAATTGGGAATACGCAAAACCTGCGATAGTTTCTGTTTTGCTCATAATATCAAACAAGAGCATTTCAATGTCTTCATGTAATTCGACAAGTGATCGGTCAACAACAACGGTTACCTCATTTTTACTCGATACTATATCTCTCTTCGGAATTAATACTTCGCTGATTCGGTTTAATATCATGTGGAATTTCTCAATAAGGAACCCCGCCAACTCGTCGTCCTCGTCCATCACCAATAACGCCTTTTTGTGTAAATCGATGGCGTCGTCCAGTGTTATTTCAAAGTTCTCAAATGTGTGTTGAAGTAGTGCGACAAATCCAATAATGCAAACTGAAATTCGATTCAAACACATAAAGCAGTGTTTATTGTTGCCATTGAACAAATCAAATGATGCTGCAACCAAAAAACATCGCATTTTTTCAACCACAAATTCGTTATTTTTCTCCACAGAAAAGAGGTATTGCTTTTTCTCAAGTTCATTCAGAGACGTTGTAATGATGCTCTTGACCATCCCAATTTTACTCGACGACAACGGAGAATAATCGACAAATAAAGAAAACATTTCGTTGACCCCAAATTTCTTCGAAAAGTTCCAAATCGTTTTGCTTCGAGTGACTGTGGCCAAGACAGTGGTTGCTTTAAACAACACGCCTTTAGATACTCCCCCAACAATTAACTGTCCAAGACTATAAAATGTTGTCGGCGCGTTGATTACAGCCGCAGACTCCGCGTTGAACGCTAAACGAACACTTTGGTCCATGTGAACGTCCATTACATTTCTGTATACTGTGAAATGCTCGATGACTTGTGTGGAGGAGGACAGGACTGTTAATAATTTTTTTAATACTTCTTCTTCTTGTCTGAAATCAACATTTTCATAATCACAGAGTTTGTGAATGAAATAGCTCATGCGAGAGAATAACGTTTCAATCACTCTCAAGCACAGATTGGGAAGATTTGGCTCCGGTGATTGCATTGCGTGTTTAACAAGTGTCTCTTTTGTTTTTTCAAGAGCGTCAAAGAGTAGACAAATGCCGTCAATGCGATTTGCGACAGTCTTTTTATGCATAGAATTGTAGAGCCCAAAGAAGTTGAAATTCGCAACCAAGTCCAACACAGAGAATATGTAAATGTTCTTGAACGACAAGTACTCTCGTTTGATGGATTCGAAAGAGTCTCGCGTCACCGTCTTTGATATGGACCGGACAAATCGTTTGAGAACAAATTCAAAGTCTTCGCTTTCATCAACAAACTCTCTTTCAATTCCTCGGTTCGCAAATAAACTCCCAATCAGGTCAAAATCTTTCTGAGCAATGTCTATGACCTCTTTGTTGTTGTAATACTCAAACGCAATTCGAATGTGTCGATCGACAAAGTTGTGGATTTTGAAGAAACAGTGAATAACCGAGTTGATGTGATTGAACGACTCATAACACGATATGTCGTTGTTGAGTATTCTCTCGATTAAATTGAGTATTTCCAATTCAGTACTTTTCGTGTAAAACGTAAAGTTTTTGAGAGATGGTATTTGCATGCCATCATACAAAACAGCACACGGCTCAAATTCACACCACAAAAGCTTGAGTCTGTAAGCCTGTTTGAGCGCAGTTTGTTGGTCAACCATAAGCGCTTTGTGGCACACAATGAGCATTTCTAAACCCGTAAAGAAGTCACTCGAGACAAAGTCGAAAACCAAATCGACTAAACAACTTAAAATGTTTTTGACTGCTTTGTTTGAAAAAATGCGATTTTCTTTTGTCAACTTTGCGTATAAACAAGAAAATTCATCAAGAAAACGCCGTTTCATTGTTGTGTCAATAACAAAGCATGATATCTCCAAACAGTTTTTGATTTCAAACAATGACGTTTGAATTGAATGAAGTAAATTCCTGTGGACAGATGCCTTCTTTTCATCGCCATCCATCATTTTGAGAAGGTTCAAACTTCTTCTTAATCGAATTGCAAACAAAGTGGCACACCCCAAAGGCTGAAAAACAATCGAAAACACCAAAGATATGATTTGTCGTATCGTTTCACTGCTGGCTTCGGCATTTTCGTCTGAAAGTTTGTGCAATGACGGGAGGTACAGCTCAAGTGTTGAATTTTGAAATGTGGAAATTTCCGGTTTCACCTCGTCGATGACTTGAACAACAGATTCAACAGATGTAAACTCAAACTCCGAAAGTACGAAGGAGAGCAGTTTGACTTTTGCAGAAACATACTGAAAATACTTTGTGAGAAGTTCTTTAATTGGTATTCTTTTCACATCACCTTCGTATTGCAACAAATTCAGCAACTCATAATGCGTGATTTCTAATAATTCATCAAATTTTCCAAACAGTTTCTTCTTGTTATTTTGCATCATTTCGTCCATTATTAATTCCTGAAAAATGTAGAAATTGTTAAATACATTTTCAAGTGAATTTTCGTCCGTCTCTTCGAGTTTTGCGATAATTGAATATTTCTCTGTTGTCGTGAACCTCTCAGTGAAACTGTAAGCATATTCAAATAAACCATTGAAGGTGAGGTTAACACTCAACTTCATTTCAACATCAACCAAATTGGTTATAATAAGTACAATTTGTTGGACGACTCTATTCAGCAAACAACCAGGTGCAGTGCATTTCCGATAAAAAAAGACGAGCGGCAATATAACATTTTCTATTTTCTGGGAACCTACACCCACCAAGACTAACATGAAAAGTTTAAGTGTTTGACACCAACACTCATCGATTATTTGTTCGGAAAACATAAAGTTCACCAATTCAAACATCTCATTAAAAAAAGTGGATATTGAAAGGTAATTGAATCTTTGAATGATTGTCGAGTATTTGCACATGTATTGCTGTTTTAAAACAACTATAAAGTATTTCATGGCAACAATGAAATCAGAGAAAAGGTTCTCGTCAATATCTCCTTTCTTGAACCTTAAATAAATTTTGTATATATATGTTTGTATGGGCAAGTTCAGTATTTTTCCTTTAAAATATTCCTTTGAAGCAACTAATAACGCGACCATCATGCGCTTAACTGTATCTTTGTCGTTGGGTGTCTTATCGACAGCTTCAAACAATTTTAACACCCTTGAATACTCGTCAGGGTCTTTCAACACAGCTGGAAGTTCTTCCCTCAACTTTGCCATTGCTGTGTTATAAATAAACACCAAAGTGGAGTACGGTTCTATCCCACCACAGCTCGAATACCACTCAAGTCCAATATCAATACAATACATTTCCAATACCATTTCGAGATATTTCTGGTCAATAATTCCTTCAAACATGCAAGAGTCGTGCGTATTTTTTGGCAACTCTATATCAGCAAAATCAAACGAGAACAGAAAGGAGAAGTCAACTGGCTTTGTCTTCACTTTCACTAATTTCGATGATTCAAAAAAATTCACGATTTTCATCGTGACTCTGTTAGGTTCGTACAACTCAAATATTTGAACGACGATTCTCATATAAATCAAAACATCTTCCATATTTTCAATGTAAAATTGCCGTGAATTGTTGTCATTTTCTTTTACAATATCTTTAATAACACTGACAACCCACTCGAACTTCTTTTTGGCTGACAAATAAAAAATGTCTGCCACCGCCGAAATGAACCTTTTGAACGAGTTCTTCATTTTCATGGAAATAATAACACATTTGGTTTGTTGTGAGAGGGTGTTCACAAAGTAGTAATTCTGTTTGATACACTCCAACGAGTGGACAAGTTCTTGTTTCGTCTTGAAATTGGCGACTTGAAAAAAAGCAAGAAATATCCTTTCGATTTTAACAATCAAGTCATTTGCAAGTTTTTGCAACTCGGGGTTTAAGATTTTCTGTCCATTTTTACGGTAATTTTGAATGAAATAAAGAACGTCCGTTATCTTCTCGACATATTCACGTGAAATCACTCTCTCTTCGTTGTAAGTGTAACCAAGGTTCTGGCTTTTGTCGGAAGAAGTTTCTTCGGACTTCGGAGAACTCGACGACGCAGAAACAACCGAAATGAAAAAGTTGTATAACGTGTTTAGTTCCTTTCTCAAATCAACTACTGTCTCCTTTAACACTTTAAGCATCATTCCCGATGTTTTGAGTTGTTCGTCTAACACTGAGACACATTTTTGGAAAGCGGCACGGTGTTTGTTCAAAATGTCGAGCTGATGGCACAAAATATAGCAGTCCAACATTTTATCAATAATAATTGCTTTTTCTGAAATGTCCAAAAAGTCATGAACTCCGCTTGGTGTCGACGATGTTGATATTTTCATTTTTAATTTGTCCATACAGTTGACTAAAAAGTCGGCTTGTGGAGTAAAATACTTGCAAAATTCGCTTTGTTTTTCGTATATAAACTCCGCCATCTCACCCGTGCTTTGAAATTGTTGAGTTTTGATTGAATTGAGAAATTCTTCCACTTTCGCTGACAAACAAGGAAAAACACTCAACTTTTTTTTCAAAAACGAATTTGTAATGAAGAGTCTGAGTTGATCTTGTTCGTAACTTAAGTAAATACCTCCCTCTTTACTGTTTCTCAAAAACGACGACAAATATTTCATGTATTGTTGACACTCTACTAATACATAAGTCACGTTATGTTGAAAAACGTATTTTTGTACTGATAATTCAAATGAGAAAATTGGAATAAAGAGAGGGGAGAGTTCAAATATTTTAGAAATGCTTTTGTTGAACTCTTGAACTACTTTTGATAACACTTCTTTACTAGACATTTCAAAAAAAGCTTTGAGCATATCTCCTAATATTTGGTATAAATAAAGCGGATCTACTCCATCAAGTCTCGAAAGCACATTAAAAAACTCCAATGCTTTCTTCCGGAATCTAACCAAATCTTCACAGCGTTCGGTTATTTGATCAACCTTTGTTTTAACAACATAGTTATTGATTAAATGAAGTGATATAATAAAGTTTGAAAATGACTTTTTGAATATTTCCATTTCAATTTTTTTAAACGATTTTTTCATCTCATTAAAACATATTTTAATCTTATCTGAGCATTTCAAAATCTTCGAAATTCCTTCTTTAAACCCAAGTGTGGGTTGTACCCCCCTTTCAAACGACACCATCTCCATACAAATGGATTCAACTTTGTTTAAAAATGGCAAAACAATCTCTGTGGTTTTTGCGAATTTGGTGTTATTTGACTCGTTCATAAATTGCAGTACCACCGTGTTGTTGATGAGGTTATTAGTACACCACCACAGTTTGGTGATCCATTGTTTCATGGAATCTTCCTTGATTTCGTTCCTTGATATTGGAAGACCTCTTCCGCATAATATCTGAAAGACGTCACTGCTATTCACAACTGTTTTTTCTATGTCAAATTCTCGCCTTAACTCTTCAACCGTTACGCGTAAATAAGATCTCGAGTTGTCAATTAATCGTTTGGTTTCGTTCACATTGATGTTTTCGTCTTCCGTTATATTTTTGAGAAGTGTGTGGAATAAATTTTTACTTGGTTCATTTTCTGTAGTGTCTGTAAAAAGTGATGTCACATAAATCCCATATTCCACGCACTTTTTAAACAACTGGAATTCGGCCCAAAATGACTCGCCTCTCAGATTGACAAGATTTTGTAAAAGCATAACGAGCGAAGCCAAAATCCAAGTGTAAAATTTCTCTTTTTCTTTTTTGATGTTTAGTGTTTTTTCAGTTAATTTAACCATCTCACTTGTGTTCTGTGGAGTTATAGTTGATTTAATGGTTTGGAGGATAGAAATTATAGTACTAATTGATGGATTGTATATGATCGATTCACTTTCCTTCTCAACTAAAGTTATGATCCGACACAGTATGACGCGACACTTTCCAAAACCACTCAAATCAGATTGGAGTGCCGCCTCTCGCATTTCAATTACTAAATTGTTCTCGGCCTCTAAAGTCGAGAGGCTCTCGGAGAGCAAAAGCCACACCTTCGACATGTCCATCACTGGTATAGAGTTCACACTTTTTTGTGGATTTTTATTTATATCAAATATCTTACAGTTTTTTTCTGTCATTTGAAGGTTTCTATGAATAAGATCGGGAAAGAAGAACAAAAATGTATTTCAAGAAATTCCCTTCATTGTGTTATTTTTATTTTTTTCTCATTTTTTGTTGATCAACATTTTTTGCAAATTCTCCCGTTTTTTGTAAAAATGTTGACGTTAATTAAACTAACCAAAGAAAAAAGGATTTATTCATGAGAACTTTTTTGAAAATCATAATTTAAGGATTAAATTGTTATTGAAATATAGTTTATAATATTATTTCTTCAAAAGTAATCTTGTGTTGAAATAACTAAGAAAAGATACAAATCAATTATTTGTATTAACATTTGTTAATTTGACTTATAAAACGTCAAACTATTAAAAAAATTATATGAGTAATTGTTTTTTTTGTTAAATAATTAATTTTGAAAATAAAATGTGTTTTTTTTTAGTTTTTAAGTTATATTAACACTTAAATGGCTTAAAGAAATTTTTTTGAAGGCAAGGAAAAAAAAGACATAGACGCCAATTTAAAAAAAGTACTTAAAACAACCCATGTCCCTTTTGGGACATAATCTTACTCAAAAAAAGTATAAATGTTAACTCGATTATATAAGATTTTGCATTATTTTTTCAAAAATACACTTTTCTCTCAAATTCTTTGATAACGATTATACTATACTCATTTCTATTATTTATTACTATGTATCACTTGTGTCGGTTTTCATTCAAACCAACGTGTATACATAGTGACATTATCATACTCAAACATACTTATTTGATTCTCAAGTTAATTAATGTTCTAACTTTATTTTTTCAGTTGCCAAATGAAAATCATTTAGAAAAAATTCAGAATAAAAATATATTTTTAAAAGTCACTTATTTTAGAAACTATTATTTTTTCTTGGGGTTTTTGCATTTTGGGCACAAGAAAAGTGAGTGTTTAGTGCACACTGGAAGACCACAAGATTCACATATTCTTTTTGTTCGAGCCTTTTCAACTTTCTTGCAAAAAGCACAAAATCTCTTTTTGGCAACTGTTAGTGATTTTTTTCTTTGGAATTTGTTATTTTTTTGTTTTTCCCAACAACGTCTTCCCACCATTTTTGAAGTCCACACTCAACAAACAGCTGTCTTTTTTCTTCTCCTTTTTTCATCCCTCGATCAAGCCTTCTTTTAACGTAATTCTCACACATTTGTTCAGACAATTTAATTAAAAAATCAAAATGAGACATTTTTGTTTTTTCAAACATGGCATAGGCATTAGTGCAGCAACAATCCAGGATATTTTGAACAATTGCCAAATTGTATCTTCTCGTTTTCATTTTGCACGAATACTCTTGGCAAAGTTGATCAAAAGTATCAACTGGAGTTTTTGTATAATTGTAAGCCACATTTATTGAAGATTTTCCACTTCGACTGTCAATCAATGGAATTTGAATTTTATTGGTAACAATAATGACAGTTTTGCTTTTGTTTGGGTTAAAAGCAGTCAAAAGAATGTTCCCTTTTGAATAAAAGCGTGTATTTTTGGGATTTTTTTCTTTTTCTTCTTCTAATTTCATTTTTTCTTCTTTAATTTCAATCTTTTCTAAATTTAAGAATTTTTGGGAAGATAGAATTTTTTCAGCTTTTTCTTTGTATTTTTCCCTTTTTGTTCGGTTTTTTGGCTCAGCTGGACCAATTTCCCCAAGTTTAAAAAAAATTTTGTCCCATTCCTCCTCAATTTTCGCAATCGATTTTTTGTTTTTCTTTTCCATTTTTTGTACTTTCCTTTCTTTTTCTAAATATGTGTTTTTTTTCGCTTCAGAAGGAATATTTTTGCTTCTTTGGTTCATGGTACCTATGTACCCGATTTTTCGGACTTCCAACTCCTGCATTACCGTGACACTTGTAAAATAATTGTCACTCTGAAGTAAAAATTCTTTTTTTGGGAGGTTTTGTACTAATTTTAGAACAATTGATTCTCCATGACTCATCCCGTTTTTTTCCTCGAGTTTTCCCTCATATAATGTCATTCCGATGCACATTTTTTTGTCATAAAGACACAAACAGTAAAATTTTAAGCCGTGTTTTGTGGGTTTGGCTGGGCAGTACTGAATACCATGACAACGGCCTTTAAAACCAAACATTCGCTCATCTATACATATCAGGGATCCGGGGTCGCATATTGCCGTGATATTTCGGGAAAAAATATCAAAAATTTCTTTTGCTGCTGAAAAATTGGTTTTTTCCCTTTTTTGATCTCTTTCATTTTTTTGTCGCACCGGAAACATCGAAACAATTCTTTGAATCTATCTCGCTTCATGCCTATTCTTAAAAATATAATCCCGAATTTGTGGCTCCAAAGGCGATCAACGTTTCCCCTTCTTTGGTTTGCCCCAATATAAATCAAAATGCCAAGAAAACATTCAATTTCTTCGAAATCAGTTGGGATCCATTTCCCGTTAATTAGTTCTTCTGCCTTTTCATTTGTACCTTCAACAATTAATTCAATCATTTTCATTTGAAAACATTTTTCTAAAACATTCCAAAGGAGATTTGAAATCTTCAGAAAAAACGGTTTTCGAAAAATTTTCTTTTTCACAAAACTTTTGAAAATCAAAAATCCCAAGTTTTGGTTCGATTTTTGACCATCCATCCAAATAATCATCTTTTTCTTCAAAAAAACATTCTTCTTCTTCATTTTCTATTTTTTGATCATATTCTTCAACATTATTTTCACAAAAAAATGGATCATTACTTTCGTCATCACTTGATATTAAACAATCATCTTGTTGGTATTCACACTCCATGAATTGAAAAAAAAGAACAAAAAGGCAAAAAAATAATAATGGTAAAATTTTGTTTTTGTATGTCCATTAAGGAAAGGTTCAGCCAATTAAGTGTTAAGACAAAATACTCCAGAAAATAATAATCATTTCAATAAAAGTTAAAAATTAAAATTTAGAACAAAAATGTAATAATTTAAAAAAATATTATAATAAATAATTTATAATATACAAATAAAATAATTGTAAATTATTTTTAAACAATAGTTATAAAAACATTAAACAATTGGATTCTATTTTAAAATGATTTTTTTAAAAAATTGATATTTTTCAAATATTTTTTTAACTAAGCTTTGATAATTATAATATACAAAATTGTACTTGTAGTTGATTATTGTGTTTAAAAAATACTATACATATTTAATACATTATTAAATACTAATTGGGTTTTTTATAAAATAAAACCTAAAAAAGCAAATGACTGAACCACGAGTAGAAACCTTTATAAGTCAGAAAAAAACACAATGTGGTTTAAAATTACCTCTGCCAATAGTTGATGGTTATTCTTTTGTTCCAACTGGATTTGAAAGAAAAACTTTCCGTTGTAAAACAAAGGGGTGTTTGGTTTGTGTGGAAGTGTTTGAGTCTGTTAGTATCGGAGAAAACGAAGTGTTTACAAAAGTTAAATACAAAAATGGTTCAGTTCATATTCATGATAAAAATGTTACACATGGGAAAAAAGAAGAAAGAAAACAAATAACAAAATTAATTAAAAGAGGTAGGAATTGCTTTTTGGAAACCAACGAACTTGTTTCTTTATATCAAGATGAATATGCAGAGAGTTGTTATCAAAAAGAAACACTTAGAAAATACATAAACCAAGAAAAAAGAAGAAGCGTCTAGAAAAGTAAAATGTATTTTGGATGGTAATGATTATTGGACTTACTAAGATGAAGAATTGTTTATATTTTCATCATTGGAAAAAATAAAAATATTAAAAGGAAGATAAATAACTTATTTATGTCTGGACGGAACATTTTCTTCTGCTCCTAATGAATGGTATCAATTATATACTATACATTGTGTTCTAAAAAATGGAGTTTGTTTTCCTTTGTTTCACTGTTTAATGAAAAGCAAATCAGAATCATTATATACAAAAATGTTCGATGTAATAGAGTCATATTATTTCCAAATGTTTGATTTTCACCTATTTTCACCAAAAACCAGTGTAATGTTGGATTTTGAGGTAGCTGTGTTAAACACTTTAAAGAAGTACGGGTGTCTTTGTCATGGTTGCTATTTTCACTTTTGCCAAATTTTATGGCGAAAAATAAATGAATTGGGAATGAAACCGTATTATTTTCCTGGGAGTTTTATTTGGAAAACAGCCAAAAAATTAATGGTCATACCATTTTTTAAACCAAGAGATATAATTACACAATTTGAAATAGTAAAAAATGATATTGTAATAACACTTGAATTAGAAAAGTGTGATCCATTTTTAAAAAATAATATTTTAGCATTTGTTGACTATTTTGAAATGAATTGGATGTGGAAATGGCCATTGCCTTTGTGGTGCCAGTACAAACAGTCGTTGAGAATAGATAATATTAGTGAGAGTTATCACTCAGCTCTTGTTAAAAGACTGTCTTCAAAAAAGCCGTCTTTTGAAGTGCTGTTATTGAAATTGGTATCAATTGAAATTGAAGCAATCAGAGTTGTTAAAGAAATGAACCAACGCCCATCAAAAAACACCAAAAGTGTAATCAAAAACAAATCAATTTTTGCAGCAACCACTTCGTTTTATTCCAATTCGATCACAAGTGAAGAATTTTACCAAGCTATTATGAAAATACAGACCAGAGAAAACTTGGAATTATCTTTCGAAAAGGCTGTGGTCGAAGAATGTGTTCTTGGAGATTGGAATATTGAAGAAATAAACATCGAAGATGTTGGTTTTGTAGAAGATCATTTGAGAAATCGAACGACAGATAGTAAACAAGTAATAAATGATGATAATGAGGCGATTGAAGGAGAGTTTGAAAATAATCCATGTGATGATCAGGAACTAGGAGAAACATTAAATATTGAAATTGATAGTTCCGAAATAGTAAACAAAGTAAAAACAATTTAAAAAACAAAAAATAAAACAACAAAATGTCCACACGAAACTGATTCTAAAAAACCAAAAACGAAAGAACTTATTTATGACAAATATGTAAAAACAACGACTATAAAAAAAACAAGAAAGATGATGGTGATTGGATATGTCCATCTCGTAGAAAACAACCTGGGTGTGTTCTTAAAAAGAAACGTTCGAAAATATATAAACAATAACATTTATTAATTAATTTACAAATAAATTCGTTATTAAAATATTTTAAGTATAATTTAATAAAAATAACATAATAAACAATGTATTTTTTGTATATAAAAACATTAAATATAATATAAAAATATATTTGATAAATAAAATCAACAATGATACTTTTATGAGTTTAAGTGAATTAAGTTTAATTCGATAATAAATATATATATTATTGAAAAAAAATAATTGTTGTAATTAAATTTTTATAATAATTAATATTGAACTTTTTTTGAAATAATTATTTTGTTCCTTAGTATTTTATCCAGAGTATTATAACTTGATTATATTATCACGCAATCTTAATTTAAGACTAAATAAGAAATATCTTCGTCTTAACTTTTTTGATCCAAAAATCGGATAATTTAAAAACTTGGGTATTTTATGTTTAATTGATAGTGGATTGTTTATCAGTCCATTTTTCGAATTTGACTATAGTCAATAACAGACATTTAACTCACTGTTTATTTATTTAACGAACTGAAATTATGTAAATAATTATTCTTGTATTAGTTTAGTATTCATTGAAAATATGTAGTTATAGTTGTGTTGGATGTATTTATTAGTGTCATGGTGATAGTTTATCACATTTAGCAAAGAATAGATAATATTGGGAAAAACTTTATCACTTTTTTAAATTAACACTTTTCTAACCTAAAGCTTTTTTTAAGAAGAAAAATAAGTAAAGAAAAAATTGTCCAAATCATTTTTTTCTTTTATTTTATTCCAAAACCCCTTTCTAACCCAAACCGGCCAATAGTCAGTTTTATTTTACTTAAAATAATTAACATTTAAATACTCAATTACCTAAGATCCATCGAAAATAATCTTTTGTATGAAATTTTGTAAGAAATATTTTTAATGTTAATTCTTAACATAACAACACATCCTACATTGTCAATCCACCTGATAACAAAATAAAGAATTGCATAATTACAATAAAAATAATTTCTCAAACACGTTTAGATTAAATGATAATATAGTTTAAAAAACAACAAAAAAGTTTCAACCAAACAATTTAAAACCATCAATTAGACCCAATTCTTTTCTTTTTCTTGTCTTTCGCTCTTCTTTTTAACTCCCAACAGACTCGACAGAGCATTAAAGAATGAGACAAGCAAGTGGTTTCTCCACAACGCGAACAGAGTTCTTTTACCCTTCTCGCATTAGAACCAACGCAAAGGTGGCACTTTTGCTTTCGTAAAGCAAACTTTCTTTCATATTTTTTTTTCTTTCTCTTTTTGTGAAGGGTTTGCTTCTTCCCACCAATCCAAAAGACCACAAGCAATAAACATGGTTCTTTTTTCTTTTGTTTTTTTCATTCCACGTACAAGACGTTTTTTGATGTATTTTTCTGACAATTGTTTGGCCGATCGAACGAGAAAAGTGAAGTGGTCATTTTGGATCACATCCCGAAACATCCCATAAGAATTAACCGTTGCACAATCCAGAATATTTTGAAAAACAACCATATTGTATCTCCTTGTTTTTGTTTTTGTCGAATATTCTTGACACAGGAAATCGAATGTATCAACAGGTGTTTTTGTGTAATTATATAATACATTCATTTCTGATTTGGCCTTATTGGGGTCAAGTATCGGGACATTTAGAGAATTTGTTGCAATTATCACAGTTTTAGTTTTTTTCGGATTAAATGAAGTCAAAAGAATTGAATCCTGTTTCCAAAATCGAATATTTTGAGGATTGGTTTCTTTTTCCTTATTTAATCGGGTTTTTTCCAATTCAATTTTTTCCATTTCCATTTTTGTTGTTTTTAAATTTTGGATATTTTCAAAGTCTTCTTTTTCCAAAATATCCATTTTTTCCCGATTTAGTTCGTTCTGTGATGCCAACATACCCATTTTTTTAAATATAATATTTTCTCTTTTTTCAAATTGTTCTAACTTTTTTGAAGTTTGTTTTTCCATTTTTGTCAAATATTTCTCTTTTTCTAACATTGTATTCCTTTTTGACTCTGGAGGTATGTTTGCACTTCGTTGATTCATTGTGCCAATGTACCCGATTTTTTGCGACTCAAGCGAGTTAATTACTCTTATAGAAGTAAAGTAGTTCTCGCTTTGTAGTAAAAATTCTATTTTAGGAGCATCTTTTGGAATTAAATTTTCGACTAATTTCATCACTACTGACTCTCCGTGATGCAGTTCATCAGTTTTCCCGATTTCTGACTCTTTTTTGCCTTCATACAAAGTCATTCCAACACAAAGTTTTTTGTCGTAAGTACAAACACAGTAAAATTTTAACCCCCGTTTGATTGGTTTTTGAGGGAAATATTGAATCCCTTTGCAACGCCCTTTGAAACCAAAAATTCTTTCATCCACACAAATTAACTGACCCGGTGTAGAAATTTGCGTAATATTTCGGGCAAATATTTCAAATAAATCTTTTACAGCTGGAAATACCGTTTCTTTTCTTTTTTCTTCCCTTGTTGCTTTGAGGTCACAACAGAAACTTCGAAAAAGTTCACAAAACCGATTTCTATCCATGGCAATTTTTGGAAAAGGACGCCCGAATTCTGAACTCCAAAATCGGGAAATTGGGCCATTGTTTTGCATGGCTCCTAAATATATCATAACACCAATAAAACAATTTATTTCATCCACGTCTGTAACTTTCCAATTTTTAACTAACGATTGCCCTTTTTCATTTGTTCCTGCCACAATCAAGTCCAAAAAATCGGGAGTTATAATTTTTTCAAAACATTCAATTTCTTTAGAAAAAATACCAATAATTTCAGTTTTTCTGTAATTTTGGTTCATTTTTGAAAAATCTGCTTCCCCAAAAACTGGATCAATTGTTTCCCAATTTTTAACAATTTTATTAGGATTATCTAATACGTGTTGGGATTCAAAAATAACATGTTTTTCATAACTATTTTGAGGACATATTATCTCTTCTCCAAAATTAATGTTAATATTTTCTTCAGCTTCGTCATCACTTGAGAAATATTCTGGTTCTTCAGGTTGTTCACACTCCATACTTTTAAGAATAAAAACATAAAAAACTAAATTAAAACTCTTCCCGACATTGAATTAATTTAATTAATTATTTCCAAAAAATCACATACAAAAAATATTTTTTTCGATTATACCTTTTGGCAAAATTGTTATTTGGGAAAAGAAAATTAAAAAAACTTGTTTTTTGCATGTTTCGGTTTTATAAGTGTTAAATGACATAATTTGCTGTTGTTTTTGAAATTGTGTAAAGAAGTGTTTTGTTTTTATAACATCTTAATTAGTAATTGCTTAATTTTTAATTAAAAAATGAAGTATGATCAACAGTCTTTATTATATTTACAATCATATAATTATTTATATGATTCTTTGTATAACCAAAGAATCATATTTTTTAAAATTGTCATTAAAAAATAGTTAACATATTTGATGTTTATCTGATAAATATAATTATCAATGAATGTATGATTTACAATTTAAAAAATCAAACAACGACTTCATATACTCAACATTTGAATCTGCAAATACATTTTTACTTATAATTTAAAGGACCTTAGTTTAAGTTGACCAAGACATATAAATTATTCTGTTTTGAAAACTATTTACATCTTTTCATACAACACAACATCATAATACAATTCTTGTTATTGTATTTCATATTATCTTCTGTCCTTAATACTAACACCTTCGTTGTGTTATAGAGCAAAACATAAAAAATATGTTTACAATGCTATATAAACGACAAATTTAATACCAACGCATTCATTTCTATTATAAAAGATTGAGGCATAACACAGAGTATTTTAATATTCCCGTTTGTTTCCATTAAACCCCACTAACATACAATCAATAAAAAACTTTTAAACCCCACAGAACTCTTCACACCAAAACTCCAATGCGTCGAGGACGTGTTCAAGTTTGTTTTTAATTATGTTTTAATTTCAGTCTAACACTTAGTTGGAACCACAGCATTACATCTACTCACAGTTTGTTCAACACATTAATAAGTCAATTTGTTGGAAAGAAACCCTAACAATCAGCTTTCAATTCAGCGTCTTCCCAAACACAGACTTTTCACAAGCAATTCGGGGAAGAAGAGTGTTGTACTGTGACGACGCCGTCACTTTAACCCTTCCAACCACCAAAAAGCCGATATGGTTTGTACTTATTATAATAACTATTACAATGGTATTAATAAACTAGTCCAATTTGCCTTGACGAAGTTATTCTTCCACGACTGACCGCATGTGGCCATTTGTACTGCTGGAAGTGTTTACTTCAATTCTTTGTGTTATGCCCAGCCCCACATAAGTGTCCTGTGTGTAATGCTATTATATCGCCTCCTTTTACTATTTGTGATATTAAGATATTGCCCATTCTCAATGTTGGAGACTCTATCACTATGAAATTACTTAAAATACCAAAAGAACTAGTAACTCCAACTATTGAAGGAGAGAAGATGGTGATGTCTCCACCTACGTCGAAGGATAAGAACAAACAATTTTATCATATTGTAGTCGAAGAAGACCCACTGTTTGTTTTATAATATAATAATTATAATATAATAATATTAATTAGTAATTAATTAATAATAATTAATAATAATTAATAATAATTAATAATAATTAATAATAATATAATTAATAATTAATTAATATCAAAACTCAATAATAGCGCTGTATTAGCAAGAGAACGTGTGCGAGTGAATATGGAATCACAAAAACCACAAGATGAACCGTGTCAGTTATACTTTAATATGATGTGTGAAGAGTTGGACACAATTAAACGTGATTGGCAAAAACGCCTTACAAAGGTTCCTGAAGAAAAAATAGAGTTAAGTGGGTGGAAACTGTATTATCAAGATACATTAGGTCGTAACATCTTTTTATTGCCATTTAATCAGTATATGTTACTTGAGACCTTTCCAATCCCTAAAGAAATCACTTCAACTGTTTTAGAAATTGAAGAGGAGTGTGTTGGGTTTCCTGCGCCCGGGAAGTTTCAGAACAAGATGTTCCAACATTTCCCAATAGGGACTGAAGTACAAGTGATAGAAATAGATATGAAGAAATTGGTGACCAATTCAATTTATAGTAAAAATCTCTCCGTCATACGGAGACGGGAAAATAAGCGCCAAAAAATTGTCGACGATGAAAAACAAAGAGAAGAAGAAGAACGACTCAAAGAAGAGGCACGAATAGCAGATTTAAAAGAAATGAATAAACACTACATTTTTAAACCAGACGACTACGAAGAAAGAAAAGACGAAATAATTTTGGAGTATTTCCCTTCATTACCTTGTCATCTTGAAAACAAAGAAAATGTCGAAGAAAAAAACGTCAAAAAAGTCGTCAAAAAGAAAAAACAAAAGAAAAACGGATGGGAAAAAAGCGAATTTCCGCCCCTCGGCGCACTCCCCCAAAAAGGCGAAAAAGTCGAGAAAAAAGACAAAATTGTCGAACCACCGAAAATAGAAATGGAGAAAGTCGTGAAAATCGAAAACACAAAAATGCAGAAAACTGAAAAAGTCGAGAAAAAAGTCCAAAAAAGTCAACCAAAAATTGCGAAAAAAACGTCTCGAAAAAATAAGAAAAAAGTCGACCTTGAATTACTCGGGACGTATCTCGAGGTACCTCCTGTCGTGACCAACAATGACTGATTATTAGTTTAAAACATTATTTTCTCAATCTTGAGATTTTGATCGATGAGTAAAAGAAAAGTTGACGTTTCTCTCTGAAATATTAACTATACTCTATTAGCTTTATTTATTAAATAGTTTTAATTTATATCTAAAACTTAGTATAATAAAACAAATTAGAGGAATAATATATCATTTAATAATAAAACAACTTATTGAAATAGTATATAACTTAATAGTAAAACAAATAGTAAATAAACCAGAAGGAACACACATAGAAGCTAATTATACAATACGTAAAAGGAGCGCGTTTTCTTAGAAATCGAAGACAAAGAAAGAGTCTTGGTTGACTGAAGTGACTTGCTTTGTCTCTTTTAAGTCGAAAATATGAGCTGATGAGTCAATAACAAATTCTTCCGACTCATCAGAGGACTCGTCGACGTGTGTGTTGGTTTCGTCGGGGAGTGGAGTGAATACTCTCTGTGGGAAGTTCAGAGAAATAGAGGTCTCTTCAAAAGACGACTCTGACGAAGTGAAAGAGGAGTCAACCTCTGAAAAAGTGAAACGTTTTGTTGGGACTGGTCGATACGCTTGCATTCAATTTGTGGATTTTAAAGTCCACCGCTTTATATAATTATACAGACGAATGTCGAAGAGTGGAAACTCATTTTGTACGGACTCTGCTCTATTTTGGGGACTAATCCGTTTTCAAGTCGTAAATTTGTAGAGTGTTGTATTGACTTAACCATATATTTTAGTTTGCCAACTTCATTTATATTGTATGGTTTTTTAATAGTTTAATTATAATATAACTATAGTATTTGACGTTAATGGATGTTTCAGTACTCGTTACAAATAGTATAGTTTTGTTATAATAAAAATATTGTATATTGATAGTTTTAGTTCTTTCAAAGCAATTGAAAAAGACGAGAAGCAAATTTGACGGAATAAAACCAAAGATGGACACAAAGAGGAAAAGAACGATACATAAATAGTGAAGCTTCTATAAATGGATTGGAGTATCGGCAAACTTTGTGGTTTAAAATTTGTTTTCGAAATATCCGTTCCGAATGCGAAAAGAGAGAAACAAAAAGTGAGAAATTTTTTTTTTGTTGGCATTTTGCCGATTGTTAAAACAAAGGAAAAAGTTGTTTTGAAGAGGTCACAAATTGTCCTATCATTTCGGGAGTTGACTTGATGTGTTACCTTTTTCTTTTCTTCGAAAAATGGGTTTTTAATTGTCCTTCACTTTTTTTGCTTTTTAGTTTGAATGTATTAGTAATATTTAATATAATTGCTATAAATAAACTATACGAAGTTTGAACTATAACTATTTGTACTTGTTGTAATTTTATCGTTGGCACAAAAACGAGGTTTTGTATTGACGGGTTATACATTATAATAAAAGAACTATTATTTATTAAAATGAGGATATAAATGTTTCGAATTTTACTGGACTTTCAGTAAACTATAAATACATAGTAAATTAATCATTTGTATAATAAGTTTTCAACCAAAAAATAGAACAAAACAAAGAAAATTTTGTTCATGTAAAAAAATGCGACAACAAACGGGAAAATGACCAAAAACAGAAACAGTATAAAAGTAACTAATTGTTATAATATTTTATTTACAAAAAAAACAAACAATTCTTTTGTGAAGGTAAGTATGGCTCAATTTGTTTTTGTTGTCAATTTATAAAACTGTTTTTTCGATTCAACGTGGTGATTATTTGAAGTAATTTATTTCATTTTGAAAGTAAATTTTTGACATCTTAAAATGTTTATTTCTTTGTTTTTCAGTTTGAACCTCGAAAACACAAAAACACACTTGCTTTGCATTTACTATATGAGAAACACTAACATTTCAAGTGTTATATAACTTTATAATATGAGTAACATGTAACTGTTAATATTTCACCTCTATATAATAAACTAATACACTTTAGATAAATAATAAGGAATGTGTCATTTTAAATAAATAATTGAAAAAAATCTTTAAAGTCCAGCTTTTAATAGATTCTTTATATTTAAATTCTGAATTAAAATAAATATAAATTGGTGGATTATTTTCAATCAATGATTAACATAATTACGCTATAAAGTCGATAATATTCACAAGAATAAGTATTCAATGACTGTTCATTTAAAATCCAAAATTGACTTGTTCAACAAACATGTGTATGTTTATTGATTCTTCTATGTTTCTGTTATTTTTTTGTACTTTGATTCGATACAAGTGTATGAAAAAATTAATTGAGTTTAACACGTTCAAAACAGAAACGTAATAATAATAAGTTTTTATTTTTTTCTTTTACCTAAACCTTTTTTTGCCTTTATAAACAAAACAAATTTTTGTAATTTTTTATTTATTTTTTAATCAACTCAAATTTGAATTGTTTATTTTTTGGTCACACTTAACATGAAGTGTTAAGTGTTATGTGAAGTAACAACTTCATCTGTTTTTGATGCTACATTGAGTTTTTTGTGTTAAACAAGAGCAAAGTATTATATAAAAAAAATGGGGTCTAATGATGGTTTGATATATTTGGTTGTTTTTTTATAAAGAGAATATTGTCATTTGATTATAACGATATTAGTGTTTTTAAAGTCGTTATATTTGTTAATGCGACTATTTGACATGTTTGTTATAAAGTGGATTGACTAATTAGCGTTTTAACTGTAATGTCGAAACACAATAAAGGAATATGAAATTTCATCCAAAAAGATTATTTTTGATCAATCTTAGGTAATTGAGTTCTCATTTGTTAATTATTTTAAGTAAAATAAAACTGACTATTGGCCGGTTTGGGTTAGAAAGGGGTTTTGAAATAAAAATAATAAAAAAATGATTTGGACAATTTCTTTTTTACTTATTTTTTCTTCTTAAAAAAAGTTTTGGGTTGTGAAAGTGTTAACTATAAAACAAAGAAATAAATTGGTATGGAATTGTCCATCCACATTATTATTTCACTTATTTCGCTCTCAACTATAGTTTTCTTCTTTCTCTTTACAATTAATTTGATGAATTTCCAGCAACCAAAAAAACGATTTTATCGATCTTCTGACTTCCCTATTCAATTCAACTCAATTACACTCGAACTTTACAACTCAAAATTTCAAAAAGAAAATATAACCCTAATTCCTTCCAACACCAAACAAGACGAAGACCCTTTAAAATACAAAACTGAAGGTTTAAAAGATCATTCTGACGATCTTAAAATACGTTCAAAAGTTAAAAGTTCTCTTCCGACAGTTTCAAAGCCAACAATTGCAGATGACTTACAAATGATGAACGACATTCCTTCAGTATGTCACGGGCGAATTGATGCTGTGTGGCTTTGGGTGAATGGGAGTGATCAACAATGGTACAAAAAATACAAACAACACATCAAGAAGAGGGTTGATAAAAATAGATTCAGAGACTCACAGACATTGAAATATTCGATGCGGAGTGTGTTCATGTATTTGCCTTACATCAAAAACTACTTTTTGATCACCGACAACCAAATCCCAAATTTCATCAAAAGTCCAAACGACATTTTTTATTTCGATTTAAATGAAACCGTCGACAAAAAATTCCACGAAAACGTCTTTTTTCGACAATCTCAATTTCCGCAAATTGAGATTGTCGAAAATTTGACGTACACGCTTCACGTCGTTCCGCACACATCTCTCTTCCCACCCTCCGATCTTCCGAATTTCAATTCCGAAGCGATCGAGACGTACATCCATACCCTCCCAGCGTTGTCCGAGTGTTTTATTTATATGAACGACGACTTTCTGTTTTATCGTCCGACTCCGCCTTCATTTTTTCTGCAAGACGGGAAGGTCCAAATTTATGTTGAGAGTGGCTATGCTCCCGATTATCGACAAGCGCGAAAGTCGATGTGGCACAACACAATACAACACACAAATTCGTTATTAAATTGGCACTTCAAAATCCTTTTGAAGAGAAAGAAACCCTATTTATCTCACACGGCTTATTTCTTCCGAAAAAGTGTTCTTAACGCCGTCGAAAAGTCTTTCACGCGTGAAATTCAAAAGACGCGAACGCAAAAGGTGAGGACTTTTGGAAGTACGAATTGGCCATTTCTAGTTCAGCATTTCACTGTTTTAAGTGGGTTGGGTGTATACAAATCACAGAGGGGATATACCCACTTCTGGAAAATGACTGGAAGTCGTTACGTTGATGTTAAGAACAAAATTGAAATAGAAGAGAGTAAACCTTACACATTTTGTGTGAACGACGATGTCACAAATCCAACTGATTTTGAAAGAGAATCTCGGTTTTTATTAAGGTGGCTTAACTCAACTTTGAGTATAAAAACAGTCTTTGAAAAATGAATTATTTTGTATATGCAATGGTTATATACAGTCATGCGAAAAAGCTGTCGCGTTTGGAAAAACCTGTCTCGGGTGGTAATGAACTATTCTAGTACTATAAACAAATGATCTGAAATAGAAAATGTTATTTGGAAATGCCGAA